AACGAAAAAAAAAAACAAAAACAAAAACAAAAACAAAAGATGTTTGTGTCTTCCCTTCTGCTGACTGGCGTCCACGCAACCCGCCCTGCCCTTCTTTTTTCTTTTTTCTTCCTTCGCTTCTGTTGGCGCCTTTTAAACCTCCTTTTTTTTTTTTTTTTGGTGCAGTTCCCCCCGCACGGCTGTCGTCGTCGCTGCGCCAGACTCCGCCCACGAACTTCGTGAAAGAAGCGACGCGGCAGAAGTACGCGCTGACGGCACTGCGGAGAAAAAAAACAAAACAAAATGTGGCGGATGCCCTCCACCCAACACAACACAACACACGGCAAACAAAAAGAGAGAAAAGAAGATGGAGAGGACACACAAGTGAACATAAGCGCAACAAATAAAAAGTCAAATAAAGTCAACAGGACAAAAAAAAAAAAATCTTTTGTTCATTTTTGATGACTGTGCTCTTCCCCACAGACCGGGGCACACGGACAGAGAGTGAAATGATGAGTGCACATCAACGTAAATAAAAACGGATGGCATCCGTAGAAAAACAAAAACAACATCAAAGCATCACCGGTCAATATTTACTCGCACCGTCTTTTTCAGCTTTTTCTTTCCATTTTTTTTTTAAATTTCTCTTTCGTTCGTCTTAATGGCCCTGTATGAGTCAAATTTCCCTCACTTATTCTCCCTGCAATGTCGCCGAATCCGTCACAGTAGCAGCGGCAAGTGATGCGGTGTTAGTAGTAGTAGTAGTAGTAGTAGTAGTAGTAGTGGTAGTGGTATTCGATTTTGTGGCGGCGGCTCCGCGTTGCTTTACAAGGCTCTTGATATAATATTCCCCCGCCCGATACGAACTACGCACCAGTGGCCCTGAGGCGCAGTATAAGAAACCCATCGCCATTGCCTCTTCCTCCCACATTTGAAACTCCTTTGGGTGTGCGTATCTGCTCACCTTCAGACGCGTGCGTGCTGGTTGCAAGTACTGGCCGAGTGTTACCGCTGAAACACCGGCAGTACGCAGGTCTCGAAGGGTTTGTCTCACCTCCTCCTCCTTCTCACCGAGACCCAACATGATGCTGCTCTTTGTGAGCATCGCGCCCTTAGTAAAGGAGTTGACATGCTCAAGTACTTTGAGCGATTGACGATACGAGGCGCGCCGATCCCGCACATTTGGTGTAATACGCTCCACACACTCAATGTTGTGTGCATAAACACTAAGCGGCGATAAGGCGACCGTCTCCACAAGTTTAAGATCGCCGTGGAAGTCGCCCACCAAAGCCTCGAGGAGCAACAACGGGTTCTTCTCCTTAATGGTATTCACACACCGCACAACATGTGCAGCCCCACCGTCAGTCAAATCGTCACGATCAACCATCGTCATAACAATGTAATCAACTCCCATCTCTGCGACAGCGTTTGCAACTTTTTGCGGCTCGTCTGGGTCAAGTGGAGGCGGCGTGCGGCTCGTCAGCACAGAACAGAAGCGACAACCTCGTGTGCAATGCGATCCCATAACCATGATCGTTGCCGTCGCGGTGCCCTCCTCCTCGTCCCCACCCCAGCATTCGCCAATGTTGGGGCACTTGGCTTCTTCGCACACTGTCGCCAGGCGCTTCTCTCTCATGGAATTTCGAATCCTGTTGAAGCGCGGAAGCCGTGAGACGCCCTTCGCAACCTTCATCTTCAACCACGGCGGCAGCGGCTCCTCGCCCCGTTTCAGCGGGCCAACCGCCGCCATCGTCGGCGAAATCCCCTCGGGAAGGTCAATAAATCCGGCCAGTGTGTTTTTGCCCGTCGTGTCGCTGTCCAGTCGCTCACGGAACTTTTGCAAAAATATTTGTCTGTGCTGCTTGTCCTTTTTCGGGTCTTTTGCGACACCCTCCCCCCTCTCTTCCTGCAGTTTGCCGAGTGGTGAGGCCAGCGTGGCTGCAGAGGGCGTCTTGGAGCAGAGTTTACACAAGTGCCGATGAAACATTCCAATAATCCCCGGTTTTTTTACCCCCCCTTTTTTTTCTTTTTTTGGGTAATTTCCTGAGCAGTTACTCTGTGTGTTCCTTCCTTTTCACTCCCTCGCAGAGACTCTCCGGTGTCGGCGAGGGGCGCGCTGCAAAGTGGAGGGCGGATAGCCTCCAGAATGGGGAAAGAAAGACACACACAGAGAGAGAGAGAGAGAGAAGAATTGGTAAACAAACACCAATTCAACAGCAACGACAACAATGGCCCGTGACACGCACATTCATACATGTACAAATAAATGGGCGTGAAAACCAATGTAAAAATTGGCCAGCAGATGGTAGACAAGTGAACGTAAATGCGTGCTTCACAAAAGACACCGTATCGGAGAAGGCTTAAGGGAAAAAAAAAAAAAAAAAAAAAAAAAAATGCCACTTTGTGTTTGCCAAAATTTATTCACGATACATACAGTATTTACATCAACATACATCCACAACACAACACAAAGCCCACCCCACTCCTCTCTCTTTTGATAGACTGAAAAAAAAAAAAAAGGAAAAAAAAGGGCTTACATGAAGACGCCACAAACACCGCCAAAAAAACAACGGTAACAACATCTAACAGCGGCAAGACATGCAACCAAGGCAATGTAGACAGCAAGGGTAACAAGACCTCACTCACCACAATAAAACAACAACTATAACAAGAAGAACAACAATCGCGAGATCATTATAAGTTACAGATTCCTCGGCAACACTTCTACCCGAGCAACGTCTTTAATCCCCCACGACGCCAAGTTTGCAATGATGCGCTCCTGCAAGTTTGGGTCGCTATCCTTAATGCACAGATCATTCTTCACCTCTTGTGTGGTAATGCGGCCATTCCTGTGTACCACACGCACACGACGACAGGATGTATTCATTGACTTTCCGTTCCCCCCGCTTAGATGCCAGACGTTGCGCATAAACACCTCAAACTCCTGATCGCTCTCAATCTCAAAGGACGCGTCCATGAAATACAGTAAAAAATTCTCGAAGGAGATGTACGAGTCGATTGGCAAGTCCCATTGCTCCACAAAGGCGTCGTGCGCAAGAGAGGATGCAACTTTGCCGTTCATCACGGCGTTCATGCTATCCACATCGACAAGTTCTGCGAGACGCTGGAGGCGTACAATACCATCCGGAGAAAAGCCTTTCAACATCTCATAAACCTTCTCCACAAGACTGTAGCGACGATCACGCAGTTCACCGCGCAATTCTTCCATTATTTTAGCAATTGAAATAGTCCCATCCTCTTTAAGATCAAATGCACGAACGAGCGCCACACATTCCGGTCTACTTACCACCAGAGAGGCTTCTTCAAATCCCTTTTCCGCTTCTTCCACTGTAAGCATCCCCTCCCCGGCAGTATCGTTGCGTTGCAGAGTGAGTCGTATTTGACGTAAAATGTTTCCGGGAAATGCGGACTCGCCATGCCGCGAAAGCAAAAGCTGGCGTTGAATGCGAAGGATCACTGCTCTCGCCTGTGCCGTGGGCGTGCGGCCAATAACAGGTGGAATGTGCAGTTGCGCCTCTCGTTTTCTCTCCTCCGGATTTATGTACGATGTCCGTGTTGTCGTCTTGAAGCGTTCTTGCATAACCTCATCACGCTGCTGATCCAAGTACGGTTGGTGCGCAGGGTACGAGCGATGCTTATGATCCACAATGTCCATTAACGTGGCCTGATCAAACACGGGGCGGGTAAGGGAGCCACTGACGTTGTTTGTCATGGTGCGGTAGTCCGTCGTCCACGCCCTTGCAAGATGCGTGGGAAAGACCGCCTCACCATCGTAGTAGCCGGCGTCCATGCGTTCCTCAGCCCAGTTTCCCTGAAGGGTTCTGGTGCTGTATCCACCTGTCAACAGCTTCGTGCCCGGGAGGTAGCCACGGTTCTTTGGTTGGTTTTGGCAATCTTGCAGGCGCTCGCTTAGACGTTCCTTTGTGTGCTGACCGCCTATCATCTTCCAACGTGTCCCCTTTTTGTTCTCTTTTTCTTTTCTTTAAATGCACCAGACCTTCGTGCTGCAAACCAACGGCAACGTGCATAAACAACAAAAAGAAAAAGAGTAAAAAAAAGTGTGCAAGCTGGGAAAAATGTATTATGTAATATGCTCGGATGCAGCAACGCTGAGAAGCCCCCCTTACACACATACACGAAGAGTGAGAAAGAAAGACAGTTACCACGTGATACCTACATAGAAGAAATATAAATATATATATATATATGTAATTTGCGCGGAGTGCATTGGAGTTGTGATGGCCTCTTTTTTTCTTTTTTTTTTTTTTTTCTTCTTCTTCCGCTTCTTCCTGCCCACATTGACCAGACAAATTGACGGGAATGAAGGCGTCCGAAATAAAAAAGTGGATCACGGCCTCCAATGGACCCGCCGATGAAGGGGGAAAAGTAACCAAAAAGGGGTTAATTACATTATTGGGAGAGTGAGAGGAAGAAAAAGGAAGAGGGTAAATATTGCAGACGCAGAAATACACACAAAACCAACAAAAAAAAAAAAAAAAAAAAAAAAAAAAAAAGAAGGGCCACAACAAAAAAGAAAACCAACAACAAATGAGGTTCCCTGCGCTACCGCTGCATCTTCTTCTTGCTGTTTTTCCTCTTTCGTTGCCTCGCACAGCGCGCAAAACTCTGCACGCTCCTCCAAATTCTCCTTCAATCTCTCTTCTAATTGCTTTTTTGCTCCATCCAAGAAAATGAGGCGTCAACTCTATTGATACGGTCTGGCACCCGGGCGCTGTGCCTCCTTCAACTGTTCCTGCTTCATCTTCTCGAGTACCGTGTCCCAGTCCACCTTCACCGACGCCGAAAGTTCCCTGAAAAGTGGAATGTTCTCCTCTTTACCAACGGCCTCTAGGTATCTCTGGCGCTGTGCTAGCACCATGTCCACATGCGTCTTTCTCTCTGTTGCAATCTCCAACGCCCGTTCCCAGTTAAATAAACGGGTGTGCATGTCGATACAGCGGTAGGTGAGTCCCGCTTGCAGAAGAATACGCTCCGCTTCCGCATGTCGTCGCTGAAACAACGCCAACTCGGCCTGTCGTCCCTCAGGTGTGGGAATGCTCTTCAGGTGACGTATGTAGCGCACCTTGTCCAGTTCAAATAGAGCGCCGTAGCCCACCTCTGCAACATTTAATTCACCTTGACGCAACGCCAGCCCCGTCAGAATCCCCCACAACGGCTTGTCATCTAAAAAGCGTGCCAGACGAATTGCACCACTCCAGTCGTGTTGGGCAACATGTTCGAAGATCATGGGAGGGTACGGGGATGTGTTAAACGTCAGAAGAGCACCATCAACCCCACGGCGCACGCCCACGCTTGTGCCATCAAAAGCGACAATACGATCATTACGAGAAAATTCATCTACACCGTCATCCCGCACAGTCTTCGTGGTTGTTAACAAGTCGCGGTCGGAAAAGACAATTGTCGGGTAGTACCATGTCGTGAGATGACCATCTGCAATGGCAATGAGAATCTCGTGCCGATCATGCCACGCCAAACTCGATGTCATGGTGCTAAGCTTCTGCACCCCAAGCCGTTGGTGCACTGAACCAAAGTAAAGATCACGATTGCGATCCACAAAGGCAATTTTTCGATCGCTAATAGAACCCGGCTGCGAGAGCTCCAGCGACAACACCTCAAGATGATGCGTGATGGTGGCGTTATCAACGGGTTTACCGTGATTTGTATCAAAAAAAAAAATCTTTTTGGGGTCCGCAGGGTTGCGAATAGCCACCGTATCTGGAGACAATGCAACAAGATCAGGTGCCATAATTTCCGGTCGAAGAGACGCCTGCAAACGCAAAAGACATATCTGTCGGCCCTCGTATGAGTAAACCTGTATTCCGGCATTGCAGTCGGACAAAAGAAACTGTTTTTCACCAAGAATGAGTGTAATGACAACATCACGGAGATCAAATTGTACGGGTGCGGAGAGTCTCTCAATTGGATAGCATGCACATTGCGTGGTGGTGCACGCTACGAGATAACCATAGCCCAGTTCTACCTTAATGACTTTATCACGTAGTTCGAGTTCCTCCACCGTGTCTGTAAGAACGTTCTGGACCAAAAGTTTATTACCATCCACAAGTGTCACACAATACTGGCCCCAATACAGTTTACGGTCCACAAGCTGTGCCGTGCAAACCGTTCCACTACCGCACCCCGCCACCACCTGTGTTCCATCTGCTGTCCACTGAAGTGAAAGGGCACTACCTTCCGGAAGTCGTTCGTATGTATGACTCCATCCAGTTTTATCGCACACCCGCAGGTTCATAAAGGAACCTACTGCAAACATTTCACCGTCGGCTGAGAACTTGACGGCCGTACACGGATGCCCACCGGCAGCAGAGACGTAGATACTACGCCCACAAGGATCCCATACTTTATATGTACCATCCTCGCCACCGGTAACGATAAATCCCGTCATGAGAGACCAATCCACAGCCAACACAACCCCGTTGTGTGCCTTCCACTTTAGTTGCCTTTTTATGGTTGGGTTAAGAGGCTTAATGACCACATCACTGCCAAAACAGTACAGTACGCAGTCGCCACCAAGTTCTGTCGTTTCAGATCCCCAGCAAAGGGCGTAAACGCACTTTCCAACCGAAACCAGCGTCGTGCGCGGAATGCCGGCCTGCGACCAGACCTTCACACAGCCATCTTCCCCAGACGACACAATCGAAGAGGCGTCAGCAGAGTAAACAAGTCCAGTTATGCTGCCAACGTGCGCCTCAACGGTACGTTCTACGCGACCGGACGCCGCGTTCAAAAAAGAAAAAGTTCCATCAGCACACGCTACAAGGCAGTTGTCTTTTCCCTCAATTGTTCCTGCCGCGGCCCCCCGTCCTTTCCGTCCTCCCTGGAGAGGGACCCAGGTGATGTATGTAATGCAGCTGTCAAACTGATGTACTTTGCCAAGTGGCTCGCCATTTGGGCTCCACCGGCGAAGCACAAAATCGTCCCCAGCGCTGATGACGTCACCCATCAAGGACACAGCCACACACGTACAGGCATCATCGTGACGCTCATTCGGTGTCGTAATGTTCAGTCGCATTGGCAAATATATACCAAAGAAAAAATAATGCCCACACCCTTAATAAATGTTTCCTTTAACTTTTCTTTGCCTCCTCCCCCTCCGTTTTCTTTTTCGGCGTCTATTGTGTCTATCTCTCTCCCTCTTTTTTTTTTTTTCTTTTCGTTTTTTTTTTCGTCTTCCTTCCTTCTGGATATTGTTGCCACCGATGTTGCTTGTGTTGGGGTTTGTTCTTCACTCACTCCACACCCACACAATTCACACAACGTGGCTAAAGTGAAAGAAAATTAGTTGCGATCTATAACTATTCTCTGCAACCGTTCTTATGTATTTGCCTCTGCGTGCGTGAGGCAATGAAGACGCTAAGGCACCACACGGCAGCAACAACAACAACAATACACACACACAAAAAAAAAAAAAAAAAAAATGGGAGTCCAATCAAGAAGAAAAGAAAAAAAAAAAAAAAAAGGTAAAAAGTGAGAACAACACACAAAACAAGCAAGAAACTCACTTCCTCGTGCCCACGGATAACTGCACATGCAGCACAGAGAGACAACACCCATCAAACAGAGTGACAAACCCTTCACGACTGTCCGGGTGCACTTTGGCTTCTGCTTTTCGCTTGTCATTCTCTAGTTCTTCCTTCTTCTGCATCTCTTTTTCCATGCAAGTTCGTGCCAAATATAAACTCCGTCGCCTGCCTCGTGTTGAGATGCCGCTTCCCTATATAACCGTCTCCCCCCCACCAGACCCTTCGGCTGCGACCCCACCATGTAGACTGAGAAAACTGGAGAGAGGTCGACAGCCAAATAAAACAACAACAACAACAAAAGGCTTTGGATTTATTACCAAAGAAGGGCGGTGGGTTTTCTGCTGTAACCAGCATTGCTGTACATTTTTTTTTTTTTCATTGCGGCCCCCTTTATATACACACAAACAAACAAACAAACAAACAAAAAAAAACGCCACTTGTTGTCAATTGTTCTCCGGATTTGTTTGCCGCTTTTGATATTTTCCTGCTGTTTTGTGTTTACCCTCCATTTGTTCGCCATTCTATTCACCCCTTCGCTCCCGCAACTCGTGATTACTGCCACCGCAAAAAAGTCTATCGCTCCCTTACACGCACCACCCATCCCCCACTCATTCAGAACTTTGCTTTTTTTTTTTTTTGTTTGCTAAAGCTCCTCAATTTCATATAAGAAGTTTCGGGTATTGCCATTTCCAGAAGCCACTTCGCAAACGCCACGTAGCGAGTTGCCCTGCAGCATCGCAAGAAATACGAAAAAGGTTTGCTCATCGTTTGCCCCGCGCACCAGAACACCCCATTCCATTGGGTATTCCCGTTCCCCGGGTGGCTTTATTGTGCCCTCCAGTGAAGCCTCTTGTGCAGGGAAATGCATGGAAGATGTATGCAATATAAATTTCCCCGTAATGTTTCCACTGCCAAAGTCCGCTTGGAGTTGCAGTGTCCACGGTACGTTGTCATCGAACGGTGTTGTGTCTCTATTCCCATTTTCACCCGTGGAAACGCGTATCACCCGCGTCATGCTACCTGCGGCAGCAGCAGCTGCTGCATTGGGGTCCATACTGTAGGAATCCAGCCCCGCATTGGATGTCGTATGCATACTGCCAGCGTTGACTTTCTTATATTGCACAACCTGGCGAAATACGTAGTCTAACAATGCGCGAGGGTCACGATTACGTGGACTTCGTAACTTCTTTGTGACGCCAAGGATTTCTGCGGCTTGCAAAATGTAAAATTGGACATCCTCTGGTTTGCACTTGTTTGTCAATTGACTTAACCGCACCTTCTCAGGCGCAAACTCTTCATCTAGGTCAAAGAGGTCTAACGCAGGCAGCATCGGATCCCGATGGGTTGGTTCAAACACTGCTGGCTTCACTGGAGGAAGAGGCGTCAGAAACTCCGGTGGAATAAGAGTTAGGGGCTCTTGTTTGACATTGAGTTTGTTGTACGCCTCAATAACTTCTGGGATAATGTCTGTGTCAAGTTTGAATGATTCAGTTTGAAAAAGCTTGGTAAAATCACGCGGTAACTCTTCCTGTTGCTCCACCGCAACACGCAGTCGCTCTGAGAGGGATGCGGTGTCTGGAACATGGTTGTAGTCCGTGATGTCTGGTTCATCGGCATCAATTTGGTTCAGTTTCACCTTGTGATTCATGTAATCGAATAATACAGTCGTTAGCAACTCATTTTCTTCCTTCCCGAACCAGTTATCCTCCATTAAGAGGCCGCTGCCTATGAGAAGCAGCTTTCCCTGTTTCTTTTGACCGTTGTGCTCCACTAATTCACTGCATTCCCACACCGCGGCAATGGGGCGATTTAACGGGTAGGCCATGAACCCACTGCTAAGGATGGGCACTGCCGGGCGGTTCACATTGAAACTCAGGCCGTGTGGGTACACAAATACGAGACTGGTAGGACCATCTGCTGCAGCCTCTTCCGCCATTTGTTGCTGCATAGCCGTTGTGGCAGCATTCGACATCATACCTCCCCAGGGACCGGTGACGACGGTTCGATTGAGTGTCAGAGGAGCTGAACGATCACCAAAGGTCGAGCCACCTGCCATAAAACCCCCACGATCACCCTGATGCCCGGGAGCTCCCAAAACACTTTTTCCAGCGGCCTTATTTATGGCCCTGTTTGTCACCCCATGCGCAACACACACTTCTTTAGGATGCAGGTATTTGTTCATGACGGTACGTACCACACAATCTTCGTTAAGAGTAATGCCTGTCCACTCATCCAGCGTCCGGTTAAGGTAAGAATAACGACCACCGTGCCCATCACCAAACAGCATAATGACGGAACCACCGTGCTCAACATAATCTCGAATGACGGTAAGATCTTCTTCGGTGAGTTTCTCTTGTGAAGAACCAAAGACAACAATGTCATATGGTAAAAGACGGTCTAACGTAATATCCTCCTTGTTCATGTCTACAGTGCCGACTTGCTTCAGGCGACGAGCCAACTGTTTGTAGCCCTTGTTGGGATGATACAACTCTTTTCGGCAAACGTTGAAGAGAACTTTTGGTGGATTCTCCTTCGGTTGAAATCCCGGTGCATAACCATTGCTGGTCGGGTGTGCACTGTTCATCGCCCCGTTCATTGCCCCCGAGACCGTAGCCGCCACCCCTAACCCCCCTCCGGTCTTAAACCACGCAGCAGAAGGAGTTAACGTAGACCCCCCCGGGCAGATGCAAAGAGAAGGAAAAGAAAAAAGAGAAAAAACGATACAATCAAACCCGTCTGTCTCCTAACTGCCCTTCTTACTTTTACTCTTTTCTTTTTTATTATTTTGTGTTTTGTGCTCCGTTAACCCCCTTTTTTTTCTCCTTTCTTAGGTAGTAGCAGTAGTATTAGTAGTATAAATTTACCCCTCCCTTCACTTTGGAAAGCCGCCAAAACAAAAACAAAAACAAAAAAAAAAAGTACGCGCATTTATGCAATTGGGCATCCGCAGCCATCACGCATCCACCCACAAACACAACCACACAGCGCAGGAACTTTCAAAAAGAAAAAAAAAGCCAAATATATTACATATATAAGAAGGCAAAAACAGTCCAGTGCACTTCGCTCTTCTTTTCTTTTCGTTTCATATTTTTTTTTTCTTTTTTTGGGCTGGTATTGTTCCAGAATTAACAGAGCGACAAAATAAATGCGTTACTTCTGTGTTTTTTGTTTCTACTCTCTCTTCCCTCTTGTCCACTTCCCCCCCTGCGTGGAGCAACACTCCATTCGCTGTTGTGTGTTACTGGCGTTGGAGTCCTTCCCTCTGCTTGGTTTCGTCGCAATTAGGCCTCCTTGCTGCCGCATGGTTCGTCATGCCCGTATTAGTCAAAACACCACTTGAATTCCTTTCAGCCCATTGCAATGGGTGGACTTCGTTTGCCTCGCCCTGCGTGTGGCTCCTACTCTCACACTTTCTCTTTCTGACGCTGCACGCCCCACAGAACCGGATGAAGAAGAACAGCGTTACCCCACACGCACCACGGCTCTCTCCCCTCCACCCTCCACTCTCCGCACACACACACTCACACAGAAAGAGAAGGTGAAATGTGCATATCTTCCTAATGCACAGACAAAAATACAAATATACATTGATATGCCTGCATGATGCGGCCTCCATCCCCCATCGCCCCGCATATTCCGTCAGGCTTCTCACCACCAGAGTCAATAAAAAGTTTTTTTAAAAACACAAAGGTCGCCCACGGCAAAAATCAATGCCTCCATATATAATACAGAGATAGACAGGCATGGCATGGAATGGCAAAAAAAAAAAAAAAAAAAAAAAAAAAAAAGAAGGGGCACGGAGCAAAAGGACGAAATCCAATAAGTAAAGAAAAAAGCCAAAGCCTCAAAATCTAGCGGAAAAAAAAAACCTTCTTATCCAAATTTTCCTTCAGTTCTGCCTCCGAGTAGGCTTTTTTCTCCTTTTATTTATTTATTTTTTCTTTCTTTCTTAATCATCTACTTGTTAGTAATTGCATCAGAACTCATTAAAAATTGTCCAAAATAAATATTTCCCCCTCCAGCGACGTCGCTGTCTGTTTTTCACTCTTTTTTCTGTTGCCGCATCTCGTCAATGTGATGGGTGTTGGTAACGAGCTCGTACAGAGTTGCCAGGGCAAAAACTATAAAAAGCCCACCGCCCACAATATTCACGCTTCTCATGGAAACATACCTCGCAGTCATGTTTCCGCAAAGCACAGCAACGCCGGTACACACGGCATGCCCCAACACGCCTCCAATAGTAACGGCGAAAGGGTTCTTCGCCGCCGCAAGGGCGATGGTGGCAAGTTGGCTACGATCACCCCACTCCGCAACGAATGTGAGCGCGAAGACCTCTGCCATCACGGGATGGAACGCGAACCAGTGACGCCGGGCACAGCCTGCACCTGTGGAACTAATACTGCCTGCTTCAACGGCATCGTTCGGATCCTTCTTCCGAATGATGGCAGCAGCCTCCGTCATCTCGTCATCACTCTCGGCATCGCCCTGCCCTCGCTTGGCAAACTCATCGTACAAGATTTTCCCCCCAAAGCCAAAGAACAAGACAACAGCTAGCATCTTTGTGACCCGCACCGACAGCACACTGGGAACCACCAACCCCATTAGCGCCGACAGCACCGTCATGCCAGCCAGTGCACCAATAGCACCGAGAAAAACCAGAACCTTACTGTGGCGCATGGCCATCAAACAGGCGATAAAAAACGTCTTGTCACCAATCTCACTCACGAGAATCATTGAAAAGGACGACAAAAGCCCTTCCGTCCATCTCCTGGTGGCGTGAATTGCCATTTTGCCTCTAACTCACGCAATTACTTAGTATATGTGCAATACTTGTTTTATGGCGAGGTGATGCCCGGCTTCTATTTCTTTAGGCTGTCTCTCCTCTTTGTTTCTTGCTTTCACTCGCTCGTGTCGGCCTCTATTTCCAGACTCCGTTCGACTGTGCACAAATACAGTTTTATTTATTTAAATACCTTTCAGTTAAATTCCTTTCCTCTCCTTTCACTGGCAAAAAAAAAAAAAAAAAAAAAAAAAAAAGACATACTGTTGTTGTGGTGGTTGTGGTCGTTGGACGGAGGGGGAAAAAAAAGGATCAACAGCAATGCTCCATTTTGTTCCTTGCTGCTTTACAAGCGAACAGGAGGTGAGTGCGCGGCAAGTGTCAAAATTCACTCGACAAGAGAGACATATTATGCCTGCAAGCATATCAATGGAAAACATTTTGGTTCGTTTGTGTCCGCGCACATTTTTGGCGATGAAACATCAAAAAAAATGTGGGTGATGGCACACGCGAGGTAGTGTGCATGAGCACGCATGCGCGTGCATATATATATATAAGGGCGTGTGTGTGTGTGTGTGTGTGTGTGTATGGAGCAGACAGAGTTGTCAAAAGAGCACGCAGACCAACGATCACGAAAAAGAGGAACACACACACAGAAAAAAAAAAAAAAAAAAAAAACAAGAGACGGTATGAAGCAAAAAAGTGGAAGTAGGAAAAGGGGCAGGAGGAGAAGAAGAGAGAGTGGAAGATGGATGGCGCCAAAAAAAAAAAAAAAAAGAAAAAGAAAATTCAGACACGACACCCAGAATAAGGCATTTATTTATTTATTTTTTCCCACCTCAACCCTCGCAATTTATTACGCTTTGTCCGTCTTCATTCCTCCTGCCCCCTTCCCGTCCCTCCTCCATTTACTCAACCTCCCTTTCCCCACCGTTCCGAAAGGCTCTAATTTATTTGTAGTCCTTCTTCGCTTTGGTTCCGCCCAGCCCCTCTGTGTGCACGTCTGCGGCAATTCCTGAGGACACCCTGAGAGAAACAGCCCTCCTTCCCACAACCAAGGCAAGGAGGAAGAGGGTGCAGTGAAGGAAAAGAAAAAAAAGAATTCACGGTGGGTGGCGGATAACTCAGGAGCCGTAGCAACCATGAGAAAATTCAAAAAAACAAGAAACAAAGAGAGATGATGGGGGCGATACTTTGACTGGTCGTCCCCCACACACCTCCCACCACCTCCTCGCGGTGAACACGCACTCTTTTTTTCTTCGCCCGTAACTCGGCCGTCATTTCTTCTTCTTTGACCCCCCCCCTTTTTTTTTTTTTTAATTATTGCGAAGCCTGACTTCAGTGGGTTTACGACGCGTTTATTACGCGCCCGTGGCGGTGGTGATGGTGGCTGCAGCTGAGATCACTGCACCTTCTCTCACTCTCTATCTCCCGCCCACGCACGCAGCCTCCGATACCACCGCCACCATCACCACCACTGCCAGAGGTTGCAGAAGAACTAAACCAGCAGAAGCCCAACAAATGGATGAAGAGAAAAGACACAAAAAAACAAACACGTAAAAAGAAAAACAAAAAATCAGAAAAACGGCAACAACAAACAAACAACAATGAAAAAATAAGTACATATACATACATTTATAACCAGTCGCAGCGAGCAAGAGGGATAAATACCCCCTCACAGACGTATAGGGGACAAAAGCAGCCCTATCACTCGCCCAATTTTGTAACAACATCAGCAGGCGGCTTCTGCCCAATTAATATAATATATATTTATATTTATATTTATTTGTGTGTGTGTGTTTGTATTCTTTTCCTCGCTATGGTCTTTGAACTCTCTCTCTTTTTCTTCTCGCTTCTGCGCCCCCCTCCGCGTACATCGTATCGCACTGATGTTTCACCCCCTCTCACTTCTGTCCGCCCACCCCCCTCCCAAATACAAATGCAAACCATAACTCTTTCACTGACGGCGTGACCACTTCAGAGCCCCTCGTTTTTCCCCTTCCCTCAAAACGAAACCAATGGAGCAAAGGGGAAAAGCAGATGAAACAGTAAAAAAAAAAAAAAAGACCATACCCGTGGCTTTTTTTTTTTTTTTCCTCGTCTGGACTCTCGTCCTTCATTTGTCGTAGCAAAAAAGGCAAAGAACGCGCAAGTGGAGGAAGACAAAAAAAAAAAAAAAAAAAAAAGGAACACAAGAGGAAGGTTGGGAGGGTGTTGAATGCCTGCACCATTGCCCTTGCCACAGCACAATGCAAGCTGCTCCCTTCTTTCTCTCTCCCTCTCTTCTCATCGTATCATTAACAACAATCATATATATGTTTCGTTTTCTCTCAATATATTTCCCCCCCATCACCTCCACCAGTCGTCCTTTGTGTGGGGCACACAAGGCACAGTTCCCGCGAGGCACACACGCGCACCGACAAACCTAAATGTGCAGGAAGAGAGCAAATGATAAAAACAAAAACAAAAAACAAAAAAACACACACACAAAACAAAACAAACAAACAAACAAAAAAAAAGATACACACCACAAGGAGAAAGAAATATATAAAAAAAAAAAAAAGGGCATGCGGAAAAAAAAATTGCTCTCTTCACCAAACGTACACATACATACAAATATAAACACACACGTATCGTAAGACTTTTTAAATTCCTCCTGCCCTTTTTTCTCTTCATTTTCTCTCCCCCCTCTCCTCCCTTTCGTCTTCTTTTTTTTTTGCTTTTCTTTTTTCTTGATAACCGGCTTTTTTTTTTTTTGCCGCTGCTTTTCCATCTCGTTTTTTTTTCTTTCTTTTTTTTTTTTTTTCTCTTCTTTGCACGCCTTTCGTTTTTCCTCCTCGTCGTTGGAGCATTCATTTCAGCTTTTTTCTTTTTTCTTTTCTTTTTTAATCCTTTTAACTTCTTTTTCCTTTTCTTTTTTTGATTTTTAATTTATTTTTATTTTGTGGCACGATGAAGGGAGTGGTAGGTGCGTTCAACTTTCGGTCTCACCCTGCTGTGTTTCATGAGGCCTTCTCTTCGACCAGAACGGGCGCTTCCGCCGGCCGTGCGTCGGCCTCCGACTTCGGTGCCATTGTTGGAGTTGGCTTTGCTTCCTGCCGTTCTTCAACGCCTTCCTTGCTGTTTGTTTCCCCCTTTGTGCTGCTATTTTTGCTGCTGTCCTTATCCTTCGTGGCTCGCTTCTCTTTCACATTGATTTCCTTTTCCTCCGCCTGGGCAGGCGTGGCGCCACTGTTAGCTTGTTGATTGTTGTTGCTGCCTTTGCGCTGTCCTGGATAGCGAGAATGCGTGGAGGTCACATGCAGCTCCTTGCAGTGCTGACCAAAACGGCACTTGCCCTTGATGTAGTTTAGGCACGCCTCATATGGGTAGTTCGCAAAGGTACAATCCTCAAGGAAGTTGCAATGACCGTATACACGTAGGCAAGGGTGCTTTTTATTGGAATTCTTGTTGCCGTGCCCCGCAGCTTGCTGCTGCCGTGTTTCCCACCGTCGTCCCAGCGTGCTGTTGTTGTTGTTGTTGTTGTTGTTGTTACTGGTATTGTTGTTGTTATTGTTGCTGCTGCTGTTATTGGTAGGGACGGTGGGGGGAAGAACATTGCTGCTTTGGGAAGCATTGAGACTGCCAGCATTAGCTGCCTTCGCAAGAGTCGCCTCCAACTCCGCCACACGGATAGGCGTTGATCCTGGGTTGGCTTCTTCATCCGCCCAGTTCAGGCCGTTGCCGTTGTTGGGACCACTGTTGGCCATGTTGTTGCCTTTCCAGTTCGCATCACCCTGCTGAGGCGTGTAGGGGGGAATGGGACGACGCTGCGTTATGGGAGGTACCTCGGTGGTTCGAACCGACTGCAACATGTGAACAAGACGGCGCAGTGTTTGATTGGGGACCACCACATCTAGCAGCTCCTCCTTTGTAAGTTGCGAATACGCTTTGGTGTTGGTGCTAGCACACTCCCGCAAGTATTCTCGGATTGAAACATTCTCGTATGTAAAGCCATCCGAGGCAACCACGGGATCCTTGACAGAGGCATACTGACTGACAACTCGCTCCACAGCCGCCAGACTATTCTGCACCGCAATAAGTTTTGCGCGAACCTCATCGCGTTGCTTGATTGCGTTGTTGTAAAGATGGCGTGTCTCCTCAAGAGTGCGTTGAAGGTTCTGCGCAATGTTAAGAAGATAGGGCAAAGAGCATTGATGGCCGTTAAAGCCTTCCTGCAATTCCTTCATTACTCCCCAAATTGGAGGGGCGTGCTCCGGAACACTTCCTGTATTGGCCTGCATTCCTTTTACTTGCTTCTGGGAATCCTTTTTAATGATATTACCGTAAATATACTTCGGTGTGTGTGTTTGTGTGTGTGTGTATGATGGTACCAAAAAAAAAAAAAAAAAAAAAAAAAAAAGGCAGCAAGAAGAAAAGATAAAATTTGTCACAAGATGTAGAAAAGTTGAGCACCCATTCATAATGACGAACGGGTAAAGACACAGACACACACACACACAAAAAAAAAAAAGGTGACAGGGCCAACCAGCAGAGTGGGAAGGAAATAAAAGGAAATACAAGGAGAACGCACACACACACGGAAAGAGAGAGAGAGACGTAAAAGAAAAAAAAAAAAGGGTAACGAAAAACAATGAGTTCATGAAGCAACTTTTGTACGTGCGTGTATGAGAGCGAGCATAGGAAGGGATGGGGGGATTCCGCTCCGCCACCCCCCCCTTCTGCAAAAAAGTAGTTTTCTTTCATTTCCATCCTTCCCACCTCCAGTTCCCCCGCCAAAACCACCGGCTTCCTTTTTTCCTTTTCGGTCCTCTTCACACACCCCATAGTCCCACTCCGTTACACGCCGCGGCCAGCAAGGATGCCATTGCGGCTGCATTTGTTCCCTTTCGTTCGGAGAGAAAATCGATATTGACATCGCGTTCACCACCCAAATAGAAGAGAAACACAGACACACACACACACGAACACAACAACAAAGGAAAAGAATAGGAGAATTTTTTATGATTTCTGCGTGACTTGAGCTCCTTCTTTCTCGTACCGTTCCGACCCACTTCCCATCTCCTTGTTGGGGCAAAGGGATTTTCCGTTGTGGCTCTCTGCCCCCTCCATCCCGCCGTCTTCTTCGGCGCAAAAAACAAAACAACAACAACAAGAAAAATGCCTCCCCCTTTTCTCACGCCAGCGTCGGTTGTAAATCATAACTGGTTTCCCATCCATTTTTCACTTCGTTTTTTTTCCTCACCAGCGCCTTATTTGACGTTATCGTCAACAAAATTTCCCCCACTTCTCTGACTTATTTATTTATTTTTATTGCCGCTAGTGGATGAATCCTCGCGTACGCCTCGTACTCGCTTCCTCGTTCGTTTTTTTGCTCTTTTTCTTTTTGCCTCCCCCCTCCCCTCACATCGCCCGTCCAGAGTCATTCATCCCCACGGAGGTGCACGGCCCATCGGTACATGCACGTCCGTGTCCCCGACAGTCGCCCACCGCGCGCGGAAGACCGAACCCGTCAGGGCGGACAATCCGAGAGAGTGACTGGGCGGGGGGAATTCCGTCTTCTTCGCCGTCGGCGGCCGGCACAAAGCGGTGAAAAACGCCAAGGCACGTCGAGAAGCACGCAAAAAAAAAAAAAAAAAAAAAAAAGGCGGGGAAACGAGAGATACGAGAAAACACGTCATCGCCACCGCACAGACCGGGCGGGGTGGGGAGGAGGGAAAAAAAGCACAGAAGGGGCCCCACAACAAAAAAAAACAAAAAAAGATCCTCACATTCCCAAAGAAATTTCTCCGCCGTCTCCGTGGCGAAAGAAAAGGAGAACTCCCGAGTGCCCGGTGAAGCCCAACGCGGCGCCAACACACAACACACACACACAAAAAAAAAAAAAAAAAAAAAAAGGGAAAAGAAAAGAAAAAACGCTCGTAAAAGAAAAAAAAAAAAAAATTAGCAGCTGCAACAAAACAAATGAAGATAATAAAAAAAGAAGAAAAAAAAAACAATCCATCGGTCTTCCCCGTCAATCTCCGTTTCTCTTTTCCCAAGTTTTAGAGAAACAAATTCCACACAAAAACCGACCGCCAGACCCTTTTGTCTCCCCCCTCCCTCTGTGGCTTGATTGGCTCCTTATTAGACATCCTGTTTCCGCGTTATGCGACTCTCGTGCGCGTAGGCATTCACGGAAATTTGTAATGGAGACAAAGAAACAACTGGGGAATAAAACCACTTAATTTGTAACCTCAAACAGAAAAAACAAAAGAAAAAGCAAGGACAAAAAAACAGATGAACAGGGAGGAAAACTGCAATTGGGATCGAGGGGAAAAAAGGAAAAAAAAAAAAAAAAGCCACCAAATGACCCCATGATATCACATCACGGCCCTTTTCTACAGCCCCCACCGTATCTTAGACGATACGATGGTACACAGCAGAATAAATGCGCACATACGGCTGTCTCCACCCTCGCCGCGTTTCCTCTTTAACCTCCGCCCTCATCGCGGTAATCCACCCCTGTTTTCTATATCGTTGTCGTTTACTGTCACCACAGCTGATAATTGTTAATCCCATTCACCTTCTTTTTTTACTCTTTTTTCCTTTTTTTTTTGTTTTTTGTTCCTTTGGGTTTCCTCCGGTTGTTAAGAATGGCCCAAATTCTCCCATTTTTATTTAATTCGCCCTCTTTTTTTTTGTTTGTTTTTGCTGCAGCGCACTTAAAGAAAAAAAAAAAGAAAAAAAAAAAAAAAAAAAAACCAAAATAAAATTCTTTGTTGTCTAATTCGTTTTCTTTTCCTTTTTTTTCCTTTTTTTTTTTTTTTTCACCCACCCCCTTTTTTTGCAATGTTCGGAGGCGTACTGCGTGCATGCAGTGAGACCGCGCACAGAAGGTCAAAAAAAAGGGTGGGAGGTAAACCGATGGAGGGAGGAGATGAACAGTGAAAAGTAAAGATATGGAAGTGTGGAAAAGGAGAAAAGGGAGGAGGACCTTCCATCGCCTCTCAGCCGTTTGGAATTTCAACACACACGCCAGCTGTCATTCATAAACACATATATAAACATATTTTCTCTTGCCTTCATTTCCTCCCCGTTTTGTGTGTACGTATGCATGTCTTTACATTGCATTTGGGTTGCCTTCCTTTCCTTTGGTTGATGTTGCTCCTCAAATCCGTTCCCCTTTCGGTTATCCTTTTTTTAAATCAATTTCTTTTTTTTGTTCTTGTTGTTGTTGTTTATACCAATATCTCTCTCTCTTTTTTTTTTTTTTTTTTTTTTTCCATTCATTCTCTTTTACCATTATTTTTCCTTCTTTTTGTTTATTTTCATTTTGATGCCCCTTCCACCCACCTTTCCGCAGAGAGGCAAGCACACGTACACACAAGCGTCTTTTTTTTTCGCTGATGCGTGCAGAATTTTCGATGCGGTTAATGCGGATAGTGAAGGCAGCGCTCCCCCGTCTCTACCCACCGTTGGCAGGTCCGTGGTTCCGTGGGCCATGGAAATCGACATGGCGTTCATGGCACTGGGAACGAAAGCGACATTTCCCCTTCAAATGCGAGAGGCATGCATCGTACGGGTAAAGCGCGTAGGCACAGGCGTCCTTATAGTTACAGTAACCATAAACACGCACACATGGATGCAGACGCTCGCCATTTGCTCCTGTATTTCCGCTCTTATTGCTCACATCGGCCTTGTGAGTGTTTTGAGCGTTACCCGCCGACCGGCTAGACGCGTTTGCATTTCCGCCGTGGTTTCCATGGCTGCTGCTGCTGGCTTCTGCACGCATTTCAGCTGGTTTGGTCTCCATCAGCTGTTCAAGGAAGCGCTTAAAGGAGCGATTTGGAAATAACATCATCGTCAGCTCTGTATGTGTCTGCTGCGACATGGGGATGTTCTTCTGGGCTTGGCACTCGTTGAAGTAATTTGTGATCACATCCCGTTCATACGTGAAGCCGTCAGAAGCCACTACAGGATCCGTCACAGCGGCATATCGCTGGACAATACGCTGAACATCTTGCATGCGTCCCTCTGCCACATCCAGGGATCGGATTATATATTCCTTCTCCTCTACCACAGAATCATAATGCTGTTGCAGCGAGTCCACGACGCTGGCAAGCGTGTTGATGTGCTGAATGACCTTTGCCACTTGCTGATCGTAACCTTGTAGGCTATTTTGCAGTTCACCGATGGATTCGTACGCCGTGCGGTAAGCAACCGGTGGGACCATCAACCGTGCATCCGATTGTTGCAGGCCCTCCACATCGCTGCTGGCCGGTACCCAACCTCCTCTTACACCGCTCATTATTTCCCAATTTTCTTTTTTCTTTTTTTACCTCTTCCTTCCTTCTCTTGTCTTCTTTTTTTATGTCTGTGGGGGGGAGGGGCAATTGTAGTGTAAGTGTATATATATATGTAGAAATATCTTTCTCTCTGTTCACTGCCTTTCTTTCTTTTTTTTTTTTTTTTGTTGTTGTCGTTTACTTCCTTCTTATATATAAATATAAAAATATGTATTTTTTGTTCTTCTTTGTCTTTTTCCTTTGGATTCCCACCTTTTTTTTTTTTTTTTTTTTTTTTTTGGCGTCTCTCGTTCGCCGCCCTTTGACCGCACACTGGCGCTGAGAGGAGTCGATCAAACACACAAAGAAAGAGCGAAAAAGTTCTGCGTTTCGCCCTGCACTCTCACCGTCGCCTCTTCCACACAACTGCCGGGGAAAAAAGAAAAGAAAAGAAAAGAAAAGAAAAGAAAAAAGGGGCGATTTTGTGCCGGTGTAGGGGACTTTCATTCGCCCCAGTCACGCAGAGAACAGGCGCCAAACAACAGGCATCTGAATAGAACAGAAAAAGGGCACACGCACGAAAAAAAAAAAAAAAAAAAAAAGACAAGAAGCAGCCGGCTGTGATGATGACGGTGGCGACACGTACGCCAGGTCAAGGAAAACAGGCGTAATTCCAACGTTTGCACGCACGGAAGAAAATAAAAGAAAAAAAAAAAAAATAAAATAAAATAAAAACAAAACGTATTTAAACCCCTCACACAACCCCAAACAAACAATAAAAAATATATACTTCTTGTAGCCAAACAAAAACAACAACAACAAAAAATATCCCACAATTAACTTAAAGGGAAAAGAGACAGCGCCGACAACACATCAGACTGCATTGCGCGGTATTTGCGGGCCTTTCCTTCTTTCTCTTCTTGCTGCCATATTTCATCCTTCGTGTTTTGTGTTGAGGGCTCGACATCCTCAAAGAAGTCGTTACAAAGAAACCCTCCAGAGCGTTGTGGTGACAACGACGACAATGGGCTCATCATCATCATCTCCACCGCCTTTGCGCGACTCTCCATTGAAACAAACTCCATCAAGCTGTCTTCATGTGCAAAAAGTGGATGAAAAAGAGTTGACGCCGCGGCGTACTGGCACGGCGCCAGGAGTGGGAGCTGCACCGTGGGAAGGGCGTAGTAGTGGAGTGAGTGGTAGCCACCCACCAGCATGGCGGCAGGGAGCACCACCGTTTCCATCGCCTCTGTCAGCCTTTCGGCACCGTCCAAAATGGGCTGCAGCACAGGCACCGAGTTGCTACCTCGTTGGTGATGAAAGTAACGCCGCGCAAGGGACAGGTCTGCCGCACAGTCACAGGACGAAGCAACCTGCACTGGCAATTGTAAAGATCCGTGCGACAAAAACTCCTTGATTGGTACAAATCGCACAACACGACACCACGCCCCACGCGTTATATGTGACGAAAAAGTTCGCAACGCCACGACCGGAGTCCCGATGGTGAGAAGCAGGGGTCCACGTTGAGCCATAGCCAACGCGAATATGCGTCTCTCGACAAGGTTAGGAATAGCAGCTGATACGCATTCATCTAGTTCCTCAAAGTAAAAATGAGGCAAAAAGCTGCGCCCACCTTCAGTCGTATATCCATGTGATAATTTCTTTTCATTAGGGTTGTGCCGCTTCGTAGAGGAAATATCATGTGTCCATATGGGAAATAGCCTCGCCTCCACGGCACTTTTCACTAGTGCATCCTGTAGTGCCCTTGTCGCTGCTTCCCGCACGTCGCAGCCTTCATCTGTGTCAAGGTTTGAATTATACCGAAGTCGGATGCCGAAGAGACGACAACGACGGTCAGGTGGATAGGAAACGTAATCAACATGAAACACGTCCACATCGACCACCACAAACGTCTTATTTTGCTCTTCAGCTGCAATCAAATCGCCGTAGAGAAGACAGCGCAGGGGCAACATGTCCGCGGCCATGGGTGCACAAAAGAGAAGAGTACGTGTCCAGCAGCCAAGCAACACAGGAGGTTCAAAAAAAGGATCATAGCGTTGCTCAACTATCAACTGGTGCTTCTTATCAGAAGCGTGCATCCGAAAATGATTGGAGGTTGAAGTAGTAGGAAAAATGGAACAGCCTGTGAATGCATGCGATATGGACCGTAGTGTTCGATTTAGAACGTATGCTCGTTTACAAGCATCATGTTCCACACCGGCAAGTTCCACAGCACGTCGACGACTCTCTACGACAGTACTGTGTTGCTTTACTGGAAAAAGACGTTCTTTACACACGCTTTCCATGGATTTGCTTGGCCCTGTAAAAAGAAATTCACTGTGACTTTCCGTACCCTCAATTTTTAATGGATACTCGCAAAGAAGGTTGTGGCGCACACGCATTGCAGCAAACTTCGGGTAACGACAAAGAAGCTGCTCGTACGGTAAAAGACCGACGTCCCGTTTTCCCGCAGGTTCTGTTAAAAATGCCTCACAAGCCTCTTTAAAAAGAAAGAGCATATCTTCCTCCTCCAACTCATAAAGCTTGACGCCACTGGTTCCGTGCCGGTGGATGATATCACTGCATGTCACTTCATGTTCTTTCACTTCCTCAACAGCGGGGACAATAATACGACTCATCGCATCGCAAAGTTCCTCGATAAAAATTGTCCGTTCGGTGGCATTCATGGACTCCTGGAAACGACGCGCCACACGCCTTAATGCTTCAACAAGTGGTTCCTCAAGAAAAAACATGGCCCCAGGTACGGGGGCAAGAACACTTACACGAGCATTCTTTCCTTGTATTTCTGCAACAACGTGTTTGTCATCAAAAATGGGGGTTTGATCGCAGTAAGGAGAATAACCAACAAACAAAGCATAAACATTCCCAAAGAGGGGAGCACCAGCGTCTATCGTTCGCATCAGATTACCTGTGCGAAGCAGTACTTCCCGCTTGCTTTGACCCGTTGCTCTTAAATGGCGGCTCTCTGTATTCCACGCCAGGCCATTGCGCGTCCACTGCTCCAATAGGCGCGTGATCGCCCGTTTTGACAATAGATGCGCATTGCTAATAACAACAAGAGGGATGGTGGGTGGTGGTGGATTCTTCGATGGGTCCATATGCATCCCAAGATGAAGCAACGGAGTGCTTTCCTCCAGTTTAACAGTCCCGAATGAACTCCACTGCAAGCGGTAGGCTTGCACATCCATGAGCGTGCTGTAGTCAACGCAGTGCTCCAAAGGGCAGTAGAAAATTTCCTCGGAGAAACGGGCTCCTAGGATTGTTGTCACCGCCGCCTCAAGAAGAGGCATCTTTGGATTGTATGTGAGGGAAAGATAAGCCATTCGACTGTTGGGCACCACAAATGGGGCAACATTTACGGTTGAGTGTTGATCAATGAGAGCCGCCGCCCTTCCTTTTTGAGGTGAAATCGCAAAAGTCACAGGTGCCAATGGCGTTAGTGCAATCGTCTCCATATTTAAAAATGTTATTTTTTTCCGTTTTTGCAAAACAGACGCGCGCCATTGCAGGCATTGATGCAAATAACTCTCACCGAATTTCATGACTTCCTCTGTGGAGACCCCACGGTCGCTATTCATTGGGTCCTTCTCGTTACCAGGGGCCCACCGAAGGATGCGTCTCTTATCCAAATCAAGATCATAGAAAGAAAGTGGAATTCGTCGATTTGTCCAGGCGCAATTTGCGTCAGAAAGAAATTCACGCACCCGCTGGACCACAGCGTTGGTGTCCCCAACCGAAATCGTTTTTAAGAGTCCACCCAGCGACTCCTGAAGCAAAGGACTCCATAGCGCCAGTGGATGTGATGACTTTTTGTCCTTCGGTTGGTGTGGTGCCGTCTGACACTTTTGCACGTCGTACGCCAGCCTTTCCAGTTTCTCTGGACGCACCAATACGACGCATCGACCATGTCGCAGGCGACTGTCGATGCCGAATCCAGCTGCAACGAGGTGGGACCAGTGTGCTGAACGCAGTGAAACAAACTGCCGCGTAAATGGGCAATAGATGGAACCGTAATCAATCCACGAAAGAAATACTCCACGGAGGCGAGTGCTGTGTGAGCGTGCCATAGCCGCTGCACGGCGACGGGAAAAGAGCGAGCCTCCAACCATGAACACATTTGAAAATACAGTGGATACTTTCTCCTGTCGAATTGTGGCCGAGATGCTCTCCTCCGTCCCAAGCAAGGCATCAAACAGCTCCGTGTCGTAACAAGCCTCAAGAGGGTCTTCCCACGCACGGTTTGGCATTCTCTTTCTCTTGCGTCCAGCAGCGGTGAAGAGAAAAAACAGTCCGGATTTATCTGCCCACTTATCACGCCTTTGCCCGCCCCCGCCAACAGCCACAAACACAAACGCACACCCACAAACTGTCTAAAATGAAAAAAACAAAACATAAAACATCAACAAACAAGCAAACCAATTATTTGTAAAGAAAGTATAGTGATTTTGAAAACATGTAGAAAAAAAAAAAAAAGATACAGAAGTAACAGCAGAGTTGTCAGAAATACATACGTACATACCACGCTACATATAATAGATGGTAAAATTGCATAGATACTTGTCCATTGATCCCCAGCATTCTCCTTAAAAAACTATTTGGCTGAAGAAAAACAAATTCTTTTTATCCACTCCACCTTTCCTCCTCCCCCTCTCCACCCCTTCGTAAACGTGTAAGCTGAGCTTCGTTAGTATCCTGCAAAAAAATTCCGCTAAATCTCTCTTTAACGATGGCAATGTGGAGCTGGTGGCAAAAGGCATTTCTTTTTTCACACCTTTCTACACTTCCCCCTCTCTTGCTCTGCATCAATCCACGTTGTCTTCGTCCACAGGCTCAACAACAAAATGACGTTGTTCCTGCTGTCGTTGTTGTTGCTGTTGCTGCTGCTGTTGTTGTTGTTGTTGTTGTTGTTGTTGCATCATTTGCATCATCATCCCCATGAACATCTGCGCCTGATCAGGCATTGAACTACTGTTTGTGACCGTCATGGGACCCGTTGTTTGTTGAGGTGCGGCGCTCGCGTTCCCCCCTTCTCCTCCAGACGATGTTACGGCGCTCTCTCGATGGGAGGGCTGCACCACATCACTGCTTCCTTGTTTCCCGACCTTTCCCTCGTACTGTGAACGGATGGATTTGAGGTACATTTGCTGCAGTTTCTCCCGTTGTACCTTATCCCGTGGATCAGCAGCAGTGGTGCTCTTTACGGGACGCAGCATACTGGGGAGAGTTGTCTCAATGCACTTCTGCAGGGCACCGATTTTGCCATCTTTTTCCGCCTTCTCAATTTCGGGAAATTTTTCCAGGTCAAACTTCTCCAAAAAGGTGCGATATTCCTCAACGGGAGGAAAGTCCTTCCAGTTCATTTTATATTTGGCCGCCATGATCTCGTAGGTCTTCTGCAGGTTGTCAATCGCCTTGCGTTTTGCCTTCTCTTTCCCAAATAAAAGCGGCAGATCTGAGCGCATTCCACCCACGATAAGAGCATGCACCATTACCTCCTTCGCGCGACGTATGAGACTAGCCACTTTCTTGTCACGTGCCTGCTGCGGCACCACATCCACAATTTCGTGCAACAGATCGGTTTTCTCCTCCGTGAATAGCAGCGTGAAGGCACCTTTCTTGTACGGTTGATCCCAAAAGCTCCCAACGTACACCCGCGGTGGCTCGGTACAATTAATAAGGTTTGACAGGTTCCAAAATATACTACCATAAACGCGCATTAACTCTTGAGTGTTGATGCTATCGGCCTTGTTGAGAACAATGCGCACCTTCCCTTCCATTCCACGGAATGCGTGCTTAAACATCATTTTAAGCTCAATCCCGGCATCCAATTTTGACGGATCAAACAGTATAAAAATGAGATCACTGCGCTCCGCAAACCAACGGCTTACCTTCACATAGTCAAACTGGCGTTCTCGAATGTCCTTCACACTCTCCAAAATACCCGGTGTATCAATTAATGTAACACGCTTTAACAGTTCGTGTGGAACTCGATACCCCTGAAACTTCCCCAAAAAAGATTCCCCAAATTCTGTTAACCCTTTAAATGGAAGATTCTTGGCGCTAGCAAGTACATGTCCACTCACGGGACCTACTTCCTCACCGTAGAGCACAACAGTAAACTCGGCGGTCGTCGGTTGTGGTCCTGTCCAAAGATAGTTGTCTTGCAGCAGATGATTGATAAATGTACTCTTGCCGGAAGACCATGGACCAAAGAAAGTAACAAAGGGTTTTTGATTGAGAATTGTCTCCTCAAACCAGCTGGGGCGAAATAAGTCGTACTTGTACATATCCTCCACAGGCTTCACGCACTTTAGATAGTTAGTATGGAGCACCTCAATGAGTTCGTCTAGGCCTTCGGGCTCCATTGCAACGGATTCCGTGGCGGTCTTCACCCCCGTTGATGACATTTGTGGTGTGCTCAGCCGTATTTCGAGTCTCACCACCACAATCACCAGTAAATGGACGTGCGGGCGCCCAATGTTGGTTCCTTTTTCCTGCCTTGCGTGTGTATCGCCTTGTCCGAGAGGAACAGCGCGTGGGATGCAACAAACAAACAACACTTGAAGGAAGTGCAGAGAAAGAAAGTGAAAGAAAATAATAATAAATAATGACAAGACAACATCACCAAAGACCATTGAATCACAAGAGCGGATCCCTCCCGCACATCAAAAATTCACACACACACACAAGAAAGAGAAAAAACAAAAAAACAAAAACAAATAAAGCCAGCAACAGTCAAAGCATGAGCGCCCAAACCGTATGCAAAACAAAAACAAAAAAAAAAAAAAAAAGAATCCCACCCTTTTCAAGCATACACACACACACAAGAAAAAAAAAAAAAAGATTTCTGCACGCATAAATCATATACCCCTATATGTATCTGTTTATGTGGCTCTCCAAGCCAAGAAAAAATCTCCTCTCAATAATTTAATTTAATTTATTTATTTTAAATCGGCCTTCCTTTTCATTTGCTTCGTTTGTTCCTGCCTCTCACTCACTCACTCACTCACTCACTCACAGACTCACTAATATCATTGCTACGGAGCACAAACAACAACACGGAATACATGCGTCCACACACACATAATAAAGTACACACACATACATAAATAAATTATATATATATATATATAGTCTGCTCAAAAAAAAAAAAAAAAAAAAAAAAAAAAAAAAAAAAATAAATAAATAAATAAATAAATAAATAATAATAAAAATCCTTTTCTGCATAAATAAAAATAATAATAATAATAATAAAAGTCACAAAAGCTCGTTGAAGACAAAAACAACAACAACAAAAACGTACGTCCATCTAACTTGAATAAAAGAAATAGGAATTTGGAAAAAACAACAACAACAACAACAACAACAACGTCTGGGCGATAGCACATGTTAATATCCTCACTATTATTTTGACAGAGAGAGAGAGAGAGAGTAAAAAAAAAAAAGAAAAAAAAAAAGTGGTTTCTTAAAAATGAATGTATGCATATACAAATATTTATGTATCCTTACAGAGCTATATAAAGGTTTGCTTCACACATGGGTCAAGCACTAGGAAACAAACTATTATCATTATCATTTTTACTGTTATTATTATTATTATTATCTCCAATGCATATATGCTTCTATCCATATATAGCAATTCCATTAATAAAGAAGCAGTGACCGGAAGACCAGGCGTAAATATCGTTCCTAATTAAAAAAAAAAAAAAACGTATTCTACTCCTCGCATCCAAATGCCTCCAGGAGAATTAACGCGACATCGTCAGTCACGCCCAGTCGCTTCATCTCTCTCTGAAGGCTTAAATACCGTTTGCAACGCTTCTCTTCAGTCCAACCATGATCCTCCGCTCCACAGAACAGACATCTATGAGGGTAACGACACTTACGTCGAAACCCCCTCAATGCGTATTCGCAACCTCGTCCTTGTCCTGCCAAAGATCCACAGCCATTGTGCTCTAGACACAATCTCTCGCATCCCCATTTCATAGTATACCAGTAGTAAACCCCAAACTGGAAATCCGGTGGGAAGATGCCTCTACGTCTCCAAGACTCAAGCAACCGACGCACGCCTTCGGGGCTTTTCCACGAGAAGCTCACGACACGAAGGTGTTGCAGAAGATCCCTCGCTTGAAACCGTTTTAACAAATGTAATACATCGTTCCTTGTTCGTGGAGGCCATTCTTCCACTGACTTTAGTGCACTGAAGGATAAACCATCAATCACATCCCTGGAATCAATACTTTGAGGCGAGTTGCGGTGCAAGTCACCCAGAATTTTCCGATTCAAGGCAAATACAAAAGGGGTGTGCCAATATGAATGGGAGGAATGACCGGAATGGCAATCGCCGCTGTAAGTCGTTCGCGGCGAATCCACTATATTGTTTCCTTGCCAAGGTACGACACCAATGAGGCGCCCATTCTTATCACCATTGGTCACACAACTCCCCATCTCAAGCGTTCCTTCTCGGGGAGAAGAAATTGGTGAACAGCCAACAGCGGGTGGCGGCTTGCAACACGACGGCATTATGCCGCCAGGAGATGTTACACTTAGAAGAGTTCCACTTGAACACTCGCTTCTTTTTACCATTCCGTTGTTCGCCAGTGGAACGTCACAAAAATCGGTTATTGGCCTCTCAATGGCAGCCAAATCAATCGGAATAGGCTTGACTTCGGGTTTTTTTGACATCAAAGTCAATTTTTTCTCAGAAGTCACTACAAAAGCTTCATTTGTGCCTGTTGTTAACTGTGCCAGGAGCTGCTTAATGAAATTTCCTTTCAGACAGGATGGAACGACACTCTTTGGTAAGGAAGAACATATCACCTCACCCTCCGTCGTACCCATCAAGCGGTGAGAAGGTGTCTGCGCGGGGACCTTCTTCCAATGCTCAGGAGAGTCTTCTGGGTTCCAAGGGACGGGAAGCTCCCCCACAGGTGTCACCAACGGGGGTGCCAAATTACAACCAGCATTATTCTTCATGACGGGCGCGGGCGTCTTCCACTCATCACTGGATGGGCATCCGTTTATCCACGTTTTATCGCTGATAAAAAGCCCACAGAGAGTTGTGGGCAATTTGGTGTCTGTCTGAGAAAGCGCAGAAGTATGTGTAGCAGTATCCCCAGGGCGATCCGTTGTCGCTGCATGCCGGGGCATTTCAGACGACTGATCATGAAGTAAATCAAGCACGCTGTCATAAAACGATGACAGTTCCGGATTTTGTAAAAAATCCAGGTTGTTTTTCTCTCCTAATGGGCATTTGTCTTCCCCACACAAGGACGGCGGCCCAATTTGACGCTTGTTATCGGATGGCACACCTTCGTTTTCGCCGAAAGAGGTCAAGGTAGAAGAATTTCGCGCACATTGAGGAGGTAATTCGTTGAAATGGCGCCAACCGCAGTAAAAGGGGTCATGTGGCTGAGAATTTTTCACACAAATCCCTCCGTGAACATTCTTATTCAAGTGGAGATCGTACAATTTGGAACGACCCGGTTTGTTCAACTCAAGACGTGCCCAATCGGATGCATCTGATCCTACTATGTATTCCATCATGAACCGCCAAATTAGTAACAAGAACTTTGAAAATCTGCTTTTCTTTTCTTTTCTTTTCTCTCTGTTGGGGGGAGGGGGCTACTTCCTTTTATTTCCTTCTTTGCTCTAATCCCTTCTTTTGTGCTACAATGATAAATCCCGCTATGCACTTCTCCTTCACTCGCGTACACAGGAAGTACACTCCACAAAACCACACCTCAGAGTAGAGGCGTAGAATGTATCAATCAAATACACCAAACTGTAAAAATTAAAAAACAAACAAACAAAACAAAACTAAGACAAAAAGAAAAACAAATTCTTGTTGATGATAATGAGCCTTCTATTTATTTTTACGGATGAACTTCCACTTGTTAAATTCTTAAGTTGATGTCCTCTTGCTAGTTAATAATACGTATATATATATATATATATATATATGCCGGAATCCTTCTTCTCTTTATTGACTCTACTGAAGCTATAGATGGGAGATGGGTACCTATTATCCTTCGCCTAGCCACCGTCGCGTCGTAAACTCTAAAACACCGTGAGGGGGGGAAAAATATGTAAGACCCCTTCTTTCCAAACCCCTCAAAAAGCAAGAGCAACAACAAAAAGAACACGCATGCACTTTGTTATTGGGTAGACATGGATCAAGCAGGACGGCAGCGAGGCCAGAGTTTCCCGACGCACCAGACCCTCCTCCCACCTCTTCCTTGTAGCAGAGTTATCTTGCGATCGCAGAACACACCACGGCAGACTAAATACAAGGAGGAAAAGCCGCTTTTGATGAAAAAAGGTATCCATTGAAAATGGGGAGAAAATACGCACTCACACATGACTACTACTGCGGTGTGGAATTCCTTCTTTTGTTGTTTTATCCCGTTATTCGTTTTTCCCCCTTCGTATCTTTTTCCATATTCCCCCCCCACTTTTTTTTTTTTTTTTTGTCTTTCTTCTCGTTTCTTTTTTCTTTTTCTTTCTGTGTTTTTGTCAATCGCCATTAAACGCATTTCATCCATCCATCTCCTGCACCCTCTCACGGAGGACGGGGAACATTAGTATCGTCCTCTCACGCCGCTCTCCGCATGCGCACAGAGACACACGGACCGCCAGCAACAGCGACAAAGCCACTACAAGCAAATAAGGAATTCCTAAATCGCAGGAAAAAGGGCAAAAAATGGAAAAGAACAAAATCACACAAAAATTTTTATTCAACGGTTGCCTCCCGGTCAGCCAAAAGGAGAAAAAAAAAAAAAAAAAAGAAAAAAAATCAGGAGGCAAAAAAACACTCTACAAAAAACCGGCCAATGCGCCAAACGTTGGTGTGGCTCAAAAACAAAAAGACACATATTACACATGAATTTCAAGTCTTACACCCGCCTGCTGCCTTCGAATGGGCGGCTTCCTTAAGTCCACCCCGCTGCCCACACCCAAAGGCCCGCGACCGCACGCAGCGAGGCCGGCCCAAAGAGGGTGGGCGGAATGGAAACATGAACAGTCCACCACATTCCTGAGGCTCAATCCCGGCCAATTCATGGATCCACTAAAAAAAAAAAAAAAAAAGGAAAAAAAGTAAGCATAAAAGCATTCCATGTGAAGAAAGCACTTCAAAAGTTATCGTTGTCCGCGCCCTTTTAAAACCTTCTACCAAAAACGAGAAACAACAACAACAAGAAAAACTTCACATTTTCATGGGCTCAGAAATTGATATATATATATATATATATATATATTAACTCCTTTAGGCGATGAAGTGGATGTATCAATTGTCTTTTTAATATAGGGTCCGCTGTGCGTAATACATTATTTATTTATTTATTCTTTTTTTTTTTTTTCGGTGTGTGCGCGTGTTTTTGTTGCTTCTCTCACATTCCCTCTCGCTGACAAATGTTCCTACTTTAATGGAGTAGAAAAACATTTATCAGTTATTTTGGCGTGAGTAGACGCAGGGAATTCAAGGAAAAAAACAAGAGGCCACAGAGACACACCACCACCCCGCCTCCTACCCAACTTTCTTAAGTCGCTACCACGGTGTTCTTTTTGATTTGTCCAAACGCCACGCCACGGGCACGGGACGCAAACTGCAGGGAACTGTTGCTTTCACTGCAATTGTAGCTTGCAGGACTGACACATACAAACATGAGAACCTTCGCCTGTCCGGACATGGAATCCTGCAGAAGGAACGTCAAAACAGAGTTCCGAAAAGGAACGTGCTTGCTGTTCTGTGCAAGCCCAGAGATGACGTCTCCTAATGCGGACAAGGATTTATTGATGGAAACTGCTTCCTTCATCTGTTGCCCCTCCGCACCACTCTTTTCAAGTCGTTCGCTCCCTGCCAAGTCAACCAAAGAAAGCTTTCCAAAGCTCTGCATTCTCGTCTGTTTATTCGTTGTTCGAACCACAATATACAGAACCATGTGCGACCTGGATGAATGCTCGTTCATATTGGTCTGTCCCTCACTTCGGCATCGATTTGCGCGAGCCATGATGTCATGAATTTCTTTTGGCGAATTCACCGGCACCTCAGTGAGATTTGTCACGTATGTGCCGCATGGTCCACCCTGCTTTACCTCGTAAGATAACTTTCCTGCATCTTTAGGACCCAACAAATCACGAATATTCTCGCAATAAATTTCAAGTACCGAAATTACAACAGTGGACTCTTCCGTGTTTTCGCGTTCCTCAATGACTTGGAAAAGGCGCTCCAGTGCTCGTGTATTGATGCCTTTTAACTCCCCTTCTCCTCCACCCATGGTATATGTTTTGCCACTCCCAGTTTGTCCATAGGCAAAGATGCAAACATTGTAACCATCCACGACACTGTCAATAAGGGGACATGTGTCCTCAAACACCTTTGCTTGAGTTGCGGCTGGCGGATACACCTCATCAAACTCAAAAAGCTTCGGGCGACCATTCTGATCAACAAACTTGAGTTCGTCAGTGCTAGGAAATTCCATTACAGAATTATGACCTCCGCTAATCTCTTTAGGTGTCAGCGGGCGAACACGACAGTACACACGAATATTTCCTTTTAGTTCTTGAATTGTATTGTAGTACTGTTTACGGAGTTTCATCTCCTTCTTGTATAACTCCTGTGTCCACAACAGTGCCTTGTGATCCGCCTGGCGGTCCCGTTGTGAAGCAGCAACAATAGAAGCAATGGCACTGGTCAGTTGAGAGGAATAATATGCACTTTCCTTTTTGATATCAGCGGCATATTGCTCCCGTATTTCCCGTAGGGATTGACGCATGACCTGCACATTGTCACGCATTCTTCTTCCCATCTCTACCGATATCGAGGAGACGGCCTGTGCCCCCTTACCACTTGCCCCAAACATGGCTGTAGCATTATTGAAATTGGCGCCTCCAGCCTTGAGTGCTTCAATTTGATCTGCGTATTCTTCCAAAGCAGCCACGGCATCTCTATTTTTGACCTTTGCATCCTTGTATTTATTTTGTAGTTCTTCATGCTTGCGGCGTAGTTCTTCAAGCTGGTTGCGTAGTTCTGCTGTTATAGAGCGCTCCTGCTGGACCAACTGTTGTGTGGCTTCTTGGGCTTTCAACATAACCTGCTCAGCATTCTCTTTTGGGGCGGCACGCTCACGAAGTCGCCTCGCGTGCTCCTCATCGTCGCTGTCCAGTGTTTCCCCACCTCCGTCGTCCCCATACAAAGCGCGTCTTCGAGCTGCCTCACCTTCGCCCATGTCAAGACCGGTCATTGCCTCATACAGTTCCAACGCTTCCGAGAAGCGCTCAATTAACTGCATAAGCTCCGATGCATATTCCTCATGCTGGCCAGTCTCGAGTAAGCGCATGCAACGTAACTTGTGTTGTTTGCACTCCTTAGCGATATCCTCATCATGAAGAATATGAGGGTGTTCAAGGGCGTACTCCAGAGAGGCAAGATCACCCTGGGCCTCAAGCAGGATAGTTTCTGCTCGATTAAGAGCATGATGTTTGTCCGTTTGCCCAACTTCCTCTTGTCCAGCACTATCCCGACTCTGATTTCTGCTGCGCGTCAAGGAGCGTTGTTCCGCATTAATTCGGTGCAAAACTCGGTTGAAGGTTTCTCCCAAAACTTTGCTTTGGGAAAAGCGAAGCACACAACGTTTGAATCCATCGGTGCGGTACCTCTTTTGCCACATAATAACAGTTTCAATAATCTTATATGTGACACTTTCCACCGTCGCAGACTTTGCAACCTTCAAGAGACGTTCGGTCCATTTTTCAGATGAGACCATACCGGCAAATTGAGGCATGCAATTAAGCAACAATTGGTCCAAGATAATCATGGACCGTTCTTGTTCTACCGGAAGTCCGCGCTTGAGATACTCCTTGATTTCGTCCAAAACAAGTTGCGCATTGCCTTGCTGCACCAAATTAGCCAATGCCAATATTGTCTCACGTTCTCCTTCCACGTTGGGACTGGCATAGAGACTCCTGAGAAGCTCCACCACACGGTACCGATTTTGCGCGTCAAACGACATGTTCGAAAAAATGATGCTATGAATGCAGTTCCAAACCTAAAAATATGCAGTATGCGTGCGATAGCACTCAAAAGGAGAATGATGTCGCCAAATACAAATCGATGACACCACTTTTTTTTCTTTCTTTTCTTTCTTTTTCCTGGTGGCTTTTCCGACTTTTCCCACTAACGGTGAGCGTCAGCAATAAAAATGCTACTTTTGTCACGCCTGTGCGACTTTCTTTCTCCAAATGAAAATTAAGAAAAAAACGTCAAAAATACAGGATAAGAATATGCATATTAACAAACAAATACATAAAAAAAAACAACAAATAGTTAAAAAGTAAGAGATGAATATGAGAGATACAGAAAGTCAAAATACCGTAAAAGCATATTCTCCCCTAGAAATTTATACTGTGAAAATGTACAGCGGCACCCAAGATATTGAATGCATGAATCGAAAAAGGCATCTCCAATAGGTATAAGCTCCAAATAAAGTAGAAAAAGGACAATAAACAAGGCAAAACAAAATAATTTCCACTGTCCTTCACAGGTCCTTTACTCGCCAGTTCCCTCCATGTTCTCTGGCCGCCCATCCCGGACGCGTAAGAGCAACAGCAAACCTGCGCGTGGATGAGGCCCTTTTCTTTATGCCCACGGAGGGCAATGACGCAATGTGAGATGGCATTTTTGCTCACTGCGCCCAGCATCTTCCCACAATCCAGAGAAGATTCACCAAACACTCATACATCAGTACACAAATGGATTCAGAAAACATGTGGTCATAAGAACCGGGTTCGCTGTGAGCTCACGAGGTGGCAGTCATTTATAAAGCCCCGCAGCCGCCGGATGCCTCTCCGCGTGGAGGCCAGCAGGGGGTGGAAATACACAAAAACACACAAACACACAGACACACACACATGAAAGAACGCCACTCGCTGTCTTCCAACGTGCACAGTTAGAAAGCCCAAATCAGTTGACAGATATATAAAAAGGAAAGGGAAGTTAAACAAACAGCACTATCATTTCCCGAGTCCCATCTGGCCGCACATTCTTTCCAGAAGCATCGACAACAAATGCACACATACACTCGTACAAATATGTTTTCTTCTCGTTAGACCTCATCTCACTTGGGGTCCTGAGCCATCATACTTTCTCGGATTATTCGGACAGCCAGGAGGTGAGGCTAGGTGCGCCACCCACCCAGCTAACCCCGTTTCAAATCGAGCGTGACACAATGGACATACACTGTGAGTCGGGACAGCTTTGATACACTTATTCAACGCAACGTGCTTATTGATGTCCTCCACCCTCACTGCTTCTCTGCAAATAGGACACTCGCGCACTAAATGCCTGTTCTCACACTCTGTAGTGAGGTGCTGCTGTAGGGTGGCAATCTCCGTTACCTGGTCGCACAGTGGGCAAGGGCAAAGCATTGGGCATGCTCGAATGAAGTGAATATCCAGTGCCGCCTCCGAAAAATTTTCATCGAACTGCCCACAGAACTGGCATTTCCTTGCCGCAATATGGGCGCTGCGTCCCTCAGAATTGGATTGACAGTTTCTTCCTGCCGGACGCATTTCGTTTTCGTCTAGAACTGCGCTAGAGTTAAGCGTAGCACTATACACTAATTCATCCTGAGTCATCACTCTCTGCGCAGTCGCTTTCAGAGCTTCCATTTGTTGTTCAACCAAGTTCTGCTGTGCAGGTTTTAAAGCCTCCATGTAACAGGCTGAACGGGTCGGAGCTATAACTAGTGCCTTTGCAAAGAGTCGACTTGCCGCTTCCCGCACCTCACCATTAGAATGCTGCAAACAATTCAATACAGCAGTGGAGAGAACATTACCCACTTCAAGACTGACGGATTCATCACCGTTAATGCCGTATCGATCAAAAAGTGAACTAAGCATATTCATGCGGGCAACATGCACCTTAGGTGAAACCGGACGCTTTTTGTCTTTCCCAGGATCTACAAGAAGTGATGAAACAACAGGTTCAAGCGCCAAATCAGAGAAAGACATGAGAACAGATTCAGCCATCTCTCGAATTCGGCTGTTGTTGTCACCCAAACGAATCACTAAGGCCGGTAAAAGGCGCTGAATGTGTGAAATGAGAGCAGAGACGGGAGGCAAATCTGGAATATTGTCCTTTATAATAGCCTGAAGTGCCTCGCAACACGCAAATACAACCCCTGCCACTGGATCACACAAGCCACGGGAGGGAAGAGCCATATAGGAAAGAAGTGCTTCAATGACCGTGTGCGAATGCGTACAAAGAGCAGCAAACCCAACGGGGGATATTATAGCACGAATGGCAGCCTCACGAAGTAAACCTTTTTTACCAAACAAACAGGCGCAACAGTAGGTTCCAAACACATTTTCGCTGTTTCTGGCCTCTGTAAGTGCTTCTCCCTGCAATACTGAAGCCTGATCTTGTGTACTAGAGAGTTCACGAATGACACGATTAATTGACCTTTCCCATTCTTCTTTCCCTTCAGCAAACTCGGAAATTAAATTACCATCAACATTAGCACTAAGATTTCCCTGTTTCCCAAATCTCATTAGGTTATCCGAGTTTTTTATCATGTACAAATCACGTCCTCCCACGGGCGATTCGTCAAGCAATGCAGGGAGAGGGGTAGCAGCGTGTACTGAGGGCATCTGCTCTCCTCCCCGAAGTTCCGCTGTCATTAACTCACTCGTGAGTGGTGGTTCTTTCCCACTTGACGGCTCATATAATCTATTTGAATCCTTACAGCTTTCGGCCTTTTCCGGCACTGAGGTGGGAATTCTGTATGCTTCTTCCCTTAAATTGTCAATTTGACGTTTCAAATTCTTTGCAGAAGCATAATCCTCCTCTTTTACTGCCGTCGCCTTTTCCTTTTCTAAATAATAGAGTTTTTTCCCAACTCTTTCTAAAGAAAGCAAACATGACTTCAAGGCATTCGCAAGATCATAATCTTCCGCTGCCACAGCCCTTTCCTTCAACAATACAATTTCTGCAATGCGACGAGCTGTCACCTGGTCTATTTCCAGACCAATATCATCCTGGGGTTGCACCGACTGAGGATTCCCCAGGCGTGGTGGAAGCATCTCATCCAAGGGAACTTCTACTGTTTCTCCAATAAGACATATTCTCCTTGTTGGGGCACCCTGATATGTACGCCGAATTGTGCCGTGACTTGTGAGCGCGACGATACCTACTTGATGAAACAGATTGTAGTCACTGCTATAGGGCCTTGAAATCAAAAGTTTGACGTAAACGCATTTTTGTCGAATATTTATTGTTTTAAGTTCACGAGCTCCAAACGCATTATCTGCAGTGGTAACAAAACAAACATATCCCAAACGCCGAAAATTGCTTGAGTGGTATGGTTTAATCGTACCATTTTCTATTTCCTCTTTGGTGGCTTCCGCAATAAAAACTTCTATACGTGATGCAATCTTTCTTTCATGAGAAAGTACACGAATAAAATGCAGTTCGACTTCACCTTCAAATGCAAATCCAAGCTCTTGTGGATACACGCATCCCTTGTCAGATTGCCACCCGGTCGAATTTTGGACTTGATGGCGCAATGCACGCGCGGGATGATCTCCATCCTCCGAAGAACAATGGCAAAGAGACATAGTCAATCGAGGCCCATATTTCTCTTCCGATGAAAAAAGGGTTCCCAACATAACTTGTTGTGCTTAACCCAAAACAAAGCCCACCAAAAAAAAAAAAAAAAAAAAAAAAAAAAAAAAAAAAAAAGCATGCAATACTACTACTTATAATGAGAGTAATACCAATAAAAAAGTATATATAATGATAAAATAATAACGGCAAAAAGAGCAGCAAAAAAGAAATAAAACAAGAGCAGCATAAGCAACAACAAAAAACCTGCTTTGTACAGGAAAAAAAGACCAAGTCATATATATATATATATATATATATATGTATATATATATACCCTTGTGATTTATTATCTTTAATCAGTCCCCGGATAAATTATTTTGAATCATCTTTTTTCTCTTTATTGAAAGGATTACTCAAAGACCCTTATTCGTTGCCAAATATTAGTCGGAATATTCTTCTTGTTGCTCATTTTCATCTTCATCTGAATCATCATATTTTTCCTCACATCCATCTCCTCTTATCTTGTTGGCCAACTCCTCTTCGGTGGCGTTTTCTGTGTTATAAAGATCGTGGATGGGGGCAACAATACAATCAGGATCAAACTCCACCACGTTGCCTGGCAAAAAAACCAAATATTCTTTTAAAAGGGAAGCTACATGATCCAAAAGGACAGCAAAGTGATCAGCGGGATTTTGATGTGCCTCAAGAGTTCCAAGTCTTTTCCCCAGGCAGAGAGAAATATCAAAAAGGACGGAAGCCGCATCCACTTCTGTTTTGGTTAAACTTTTCTTTGTGGGAGGTCGCATAACTGCCCATGGGACGTTTTTCCCTTGACAAATTTCCCGAACAAAAGTTCGAGCACCAAGTTTCAAGACATTATGAGAATCCATCCGTCGCACGCTTGTATTACTCCTTTTTTTCCCACGAGAAGGAGCCACCACGGAAGAAATACGTACAAGCTTGTTTGGAGTAGCATTACTAAATGAAGTATCAAGAAGAGTTGCTTGTGTGCTTTTCTGACGAGATGCAAAACCAACAGAGGCTGTCAAAGAACTACTAGAGATCTTTCCCATTGTCCCAGCATTCGACACAAATAATGGGGAAACGTAAAACCCTTTTTCCATTCGTACAGTGTGCCCGAGACTTCGAAAAAAACGTTGAGCCGCCTTAATATTTTGTTTTTCGCTAGAAGATCCAATAAAACCTTCTCCAGGCTGACAAAATCCTTGCGCAAGGGCAACTTTGTCAATTGCACCAGCGAAAAGTATGCAGCCTATAACTTCAGGATTACTCATTCGTTCAACAAAGGAAAAAGGCTTGAACACAACATCGCTTCCAGACAAAGATGAAAGCTCACGAGAAAATACCGCATCTTCTGGAAAACGTAGTAATGTTATTTCCTTCGCATTGGGAAAGGCCAATTTAAACCTTACATCTTCATTATGACCATTTTTGTTAGCCACCATTTGTAATTGGGCAGCAGAAACAGGGACAAGACTGACACAAGAGTCCGTACCGTGCTGTAGCAATGTGCGAGATAGAGTTCGGCGGCCCGTGTTTGGAAGTCCAATAACAAAAGAACAAAGTTTTCCTTCAAGGTTGCAATGCTGATTGGAATTTGAACAATGCTCACTCAAAAAAAATTGTCTCAAAATACGAATAACGTGTCGTGTTGTTTTGTCAAATATTTTAGAAAAAGGACAAAAAGCAATACTTACAACGTCATTAAATTTCAAAAACTCTTCGTCTTTGGTAACCTTCATATATCTTTCAAAAAGCGCATGTGCCAAAAGAGAAATTTGGGTAACCACGGCTGCCACGGAAACAAGATCCACTTTGGTGATAGCAAACAGTAAAAGAATTTTGCGCATTCCGCCGCTTTTGTGATAAATATTACTTTCCTGAACAATTGCATCAATAAGACCCCATGGTATACACTGAACCGCGCAGCGGGAGTCTAGGGTAATCAAATATGCAACCGATGGAAGCTTCAGCAATGACCCAGGAGGTGGAAAAACTAGTTCTTCAAGAGTCTTGTTGAATTGATATGAAAAGTTGTTGGACTCCTGAAAAGGAATATAAGTAAGAGTTTTTTTAGCCTCAATCAATGAGGATACAGAGCACGTCCCCACACAAGCCGACTCCAGATGTCGATGATCAGCATTTTCTTCAAAAGACTTTTCAGGCTGTTTGGCGTGTTTGAAACAGGCGTGTTCACGTGCTTGAAGTACCCTCTGAAGGATAGCCTCCTTATCTGGGTGTGCGTTAGATACTTTTAAGGCCATTTTAGCGAGCTCTCGTCTCCTCTTCGTTCTTTTCGGACCCAAGCCAGACTTCTTCAAAGAATTTGCAGCTCGGCGAAGGTCCCGTTTATGTTCCCTTTTCTTTCTCTCGATTTTGTGACGCTGACGTGAAGTCATGCGTTTGGAAGGCCCGTTCCTAACCTTAGGCATTTTTCCCCACACTTACTTTTGAACTTGATTAACAAATAAATAAATAAAAAATAAAATAAAATAAAATAGGTAAATAAAAATAAATAAATAAAAATAAAATAGAATAAAATAAAATAATAAACAAAATCACCAAACAAGTCAAAACAGCAGCAAAAAAAAAAGTGATAGAACAGTAATATCCTTCCCAGAACCAAATGGTAATAATGGCAATAACAGTAATAATAACGGTTAATACCATCCCCAAGGCAAAATACTATATTATATATATATATATATATGGACTAAATAATTCCTACCCCCCAAAAACTCAAATAAATAAATAAATGACCTTTTATCCATTTCACCCGTACCTAAAAAATCACATTTGCCACACCCCATATAACTTTATTTCTAATTTTCTCAAGCTCTCAAAGCAACTGGACCACCATCCAGTCCCAGTTTTGGCTGAACAGCTCCATCGGGATAAATAATTATCGGCACATCAAAACAAAACTTACTGAAATTCAACGTTGCCAACAAAGCCTGAGTTTCCACTACAGGTTGCTTGGACAGCTCCTCCGCAGATTTCCCGGAATCCTTTTCAAGAACTTTACGAAGTTGGTTTGCCAAAGCAACATCCATAAGACGATTAAGTGATCTATATAGCTGAACCATCCTCGGTGCACCATAGCGACGCTCTGCACTATCTGGTGCGCGAAAACGCTCTGGACGATTGACATATTGCTCCCACTCGGCAACAATGCTATCAAAAAAAGGCAATTTGCTATCGATATCTCCTCCTTGGACCCAACGTTTCATTCTCATGCACCTTTCATCCCATTTGTATCGACGATCATAGTCAAATTCAGGATGATACCATGGGAGTTTGCGTGTTTCAGGGATATCTGGATCATAGTTTGTGTAAAAATCTCCCCAGGTATTTGCCATTGGGTTTCGACTTTTGTCATTTTTAATTGAACAGAATACAGAACTGTTCATAACTGCATAATTGAGGTTATCTGATATCCATTCATTGAATAGTTTCTCCTGTAATGTACCAATTGGAACTTTAGCCCAGTTATATTCAAGTGGAGCAATCAAGTAACGTAAACGAAAATAAAACGCATCTGTCTTCCATAGGCGTGGGTTAGGCATCTCGCGCATAGCCTGCTTTAAATACCTTTCGTACTCTTCAAATTTGGTCGAGTAAAAATCGTCGTCCTGCCTTGCTAGAGTACGTTCTGCATTGATGCGATTTGATTCAGGATGAGTTTCTCGAATCAGATACTGAAAAAGTTGTTCCCTATTCTTCGTATAAAGATCTTCCATCGACGTTTCCATCATAGTTTCAACATCCTTTACGAGTCTCCGATAACCACGTCGGTTTTTGCTTGCATAATGTTTTGGTTGATTATAGCCACTTTCAACCCAGCCTTGCATCTCATGTCGGGCGTTTTTTCGATCGGGATCTACATTTTTAATATACCATCCTTCATAATCCAGATTTTTTTCCCAGTAATTTGTCCCATCTGCCTCCCCTTTTTCAAAATACCCTTTAGACGTAGTCCATGATACGGGAATTCGACCCGCAATAAGTTTAAACTCTTTTTCACACTCCTTTCCCAACCATGACCAATGACCATCATAAGGACCCTCCCGCCTTTGCTCTTCACCATTCCAAAAAGCTCGTTCTTCTTGCATTTTGCCTTCTTCACTGGTATAACCACGCACAAGTTCATCCTGACTTTCCCACTCAAAAAATTTTGCAACACTTGCACGACTACGTCGAAAAAGAATAACTTCTTGATATTCCATCCAACCATTATGAAGTAAGTGTCGAATTGCGTCAGGATCTTTTGTATGCTGATTTTGTAGAAACCGACCCCGCACCTTATACTTCATCTCTGGTAGCGGCGTAAGAAGCCAATAGTAGTGTTTCACCATCGGAAGACCCTTTAGGCACGATCGGTAAAGGGACATCATAGCCGCCTTTATTTCCCAATTCGCAACAGTATTGGCTAATAAAGTGATATTTCCCTCCCGTTTTCCAGTTGCAGACGCATAAGAAAAATCAGGGTGATGATCTTCAAATGGTGGAAGTGGAATTACATCACGATAATCCACAGCTTCTTTATTGGCGGGTTCTCGAACATAGTTATGATATCGCATGGCAGGAGGTCCTCCAGTAAAGTAAGGAGCCTGTTCAAACTTACCAAGGGAAGTATCGTATTCAGGTGCATTGACATTATCAGAACGATCACGAGGTTCATTAGGCTCCAATACTCGCTTACTGGGAAGTGTTTTTTCAGTTCTTGGGTAACATTCCTCAAAATAACTTGGCATGGGTTTTGAGCCGTATATTCCTGGATGATTATCTTTTCCGGTGGCCCCCGGAATAGGCCCAGTATACTTTTGCTCTCCGGAATTCACTTTTTCGTTGTTTTCACTGCCAAAAATTCTAGGAGAAAAATGAGACGGACCATCACTTCCTGTCGTTACCAGTCTATTCAAACCAAACACTCTTTGCAAAAAAGATATTCTTCGTAACATTACCTAAGAGCTATTGCAAAATGCGATCCCAGAAACGGGAAAAAAAGGCAGAAAAAACAAGGTTACAGAACGCTCATTCTGTACAGCATACAAAAAGTCAAGACGCAACGATAGATTTGAGAAAAAACTTCACTATTCAAAAAAAAAAAAAAAAAAAAAAAAAAAAAAAAAAAAAAAAAGACCAAGGAAGAACAAAAAGCAACAGTCATTTACATCCTAAAAAAAAGAGCGAAATAAGAAGCACATCGTTTTTCCACAGCTTTTTCTCAAATACACTCAATGGCCCGCCCGCCGGTCACCATCGCAAAGCACCTCCGCCCTGCTGAGTGGAGACGTGAAGGAAAGCCGCCGCCCCCATAGTGGGTGCCGCCGTGGAGGGTAAAAAGCGCACAAACACACACACACACACACCCGTCACGTGTCGGCCCGAGCTGGCGCGGCGGCGCGATAATCCGTCACAGCCAAGCATCAACAAAGAAAATACCAAAGTTATAAATCATTAAATCATTAAAACAAGTGATCTATAAATAATAAAACAAAAGGATATACGTGTCAGAGGCATCGACGTTAAAGCCGCAGCTGCGAGGACCTCTTCGTGTCCTCTCGCCGCGTAGGGCGCTGCTGGGGGCAGGGTCTCTCCACTTCGAGGGGAAACCGCAACAAATTTTCCGTGAAGCACGTCTTTCTCACTTCTCCAGTGTACACTCCATGTTTTTGTTTAATTTATTGCAGATCCAAGCAGCGAAGTGGATGCAGACTTATCCCTTTGCGCAGTTCACGCCGGCCGGCTTCCGCAATTTCCGGTCGCCGCCTGTGGGGCATGCCGCGCGGCGGCGGGCCAATCCGTCATGGTTTTAACACTGGGGGGCCGCGACTTGTTTCTTTTGGTCCTTTTTGCGGGATTTGTTGCATGGCGCTTTTTTTTTGCAGGAAATTTCTGGAGTGAATTTGGGCGGAGGGCTTGCCGGCTCTGTCGGTGCAATGGGGTTGTGTTTTTTTCTTTTTTTGAGAATCTAATTATTGTTCTGTTTTTGGTACAAGAAGCTGATATGAGTTTACTCGCAGTTTTTTTTTTTTTTTTTTTTTGTTAACTTTCCAACTTCCATTGGTTTCGACCATGCGGCGGTGTCTTGTATTCAGAAAAATCTTTTGCGACTGCACACCTCCGATTAATTGAAAAGAAGTTTTATTTATTTATTTATTATTATTATAGTAACTTGTGAAGAGAATGATCGCGGGAGAGCTGGCTGCCTTAATTAATATATATATATATATATATATCCTGATAAAACTAATGCTCTTCTGTACGACACTTTTCTACCGTATGAATTTTTGGGAAAAAGGACTTTATTGGGGCAGGGAGCCGACAGAGGCCAGATACTTTTTTATTTTTTATTATTTTGCCATCCCACCCACACCCTTTTGATTCCCACCACGCGGCGGGGTCTTGTGGCTGGAGGACCCCAAAGTCTGTCACTTCGTAAGTAATAATATTTAAATCCTAACTGAGTACAAAAGGTCAAGTGAGCGGTCAAAGGGATATATATATATAATCAGAAAACAACATTGAGGCAATTAACTGCCTCTGCTTTACCTTCCTTTTCCTTCCTATCTAGTTTGGTTTCTTGAGATAATTTCAGGATTCAGCCAGCGGCCCAGAAGATTATTCTGAATATATATATAAATATATAGGTATATTAGATGGCTTATATATTGGAATTAAGCCTTTACGCTGAAGCGTTTTTATTTATATTCTTATTTCATGGAATGAGCGGATATAGTGGATGGCATCTGGATATTATCCCTTTTTTTGTGGTGACACCGTTATTTATTTATTTATTGTGATGTTTTACTTTGCGGATGTTCTTTTGCATGTTAGCGGTCGCCAAATGGTAAACATTTAATGGATGATACCGTGGACTTTTTTTTTTTTTTTTTTGCATTTTTGTATTTTAAAGAAGATAGGATTCTTTTTATTGTTATTGTTTTGAGAATTTATTATTATTATTATTGTTATTAATATTATTACTGTATTATTATTATTGTTTTATTATTACTGTTATTACTATTAATGTTAATGTTACTATTAATATGTTGTTATTATCATATGTATCTATGTATTTCGAGGCAAAAACAGAAACGTAGGAGACAGACCAAAAGATTCCATTTTTCTCTATAGCTTCTGTTGTTTGGATTCGGGCCGTAGTTTTTTTTTTTTTGCTTTTGTAAGATATATAGTATATATATTTTTTTCGATGCTTTTCTTTGCGCCGGCCTTTTTTTTTATTATCATTTAAAAAATTGTATATGGATTTCAGTATGAAAGAAAAATAAGAGAAAGTTCTTTATTTTGGGTATTGAGGTTGAAAGATGAGAGGGAAAATAAATTATTTTTGTTGCCATTGTAAATTTTTTAAATGATTGCCTAAAATCAGCTTTTTAATTTCATTTTAAGAAATAGAATTATCACTGCTATAATGGTACTGCCCGAAGGAAATGGTGAATTTTCACATGAGCAATAAAAGATACCCCAACAACGAAAATGAGTAATAATAACATATTAATAATAATATTAACTTTAATAATGATAATAATAATAATAATAGTGATAATGATAATAATAACAAAGTAATAATTATAATAGTAATAACAGTGATAATAGCGATAATAGTATTACTAATAATTGTAATAATAATAATGGCAATAGTAATGGTTAATAATAATAATAAACCAAAAAATATAATAGTGATGTTGATAATAATAACAGTAACAACAACAGCAAAAAAGATAATAAAAAAAAATTGGTAATAATAGTAAAAAAGAAAATGATGATAATAATAATGATAACAGTGATAATAATAATAACAAATAAAAAGAAATATTAATAATATTTAAAATAATAATAACTGAACAAGAAGTAATAATAAAAAATTAAAAGAAATAATTATAATAATAACACTATTGATAATGACACTGATACTAATACTACTAGCAATAATAATAAAGAATAATATTTTTCCTTGCATCTTTCATTTTTATTGAATAATCTGCTGAAGTATTTGGTGATAAAATCCATTTTTTTTTTTTTAATGGAGAAAAGCAGAGCTTTTTTTCTTTAAAAAACCTTACTTTCTACATTTTTCTACATTTTTATTTTTTTTTGGTAGGATTACAAGATCAATTGTGAAGTAGGGAAAAGCACCAGGAGGTTTTTGTTTTGCTAAGTATCACAAAGGTTTTTGATTCAACACAATGAGGAATTTCTCTGGCTTTGGTAAAAAAGGAGAAAACGGAGGTAATTCCATTGAGCTTCTTGGAGAACCGCTATTGAAGCCCTCCATGATGGACATTATTTCCCATGAAGCATTTCTTCAGTGGTGGTATTTTAATGCACATTTGAGGGACGTTGATAGCGAAAAGGAATTTTCCTTCTTCACTTCCTTTTTTGCTTTTAAAGACCCTAAGAAAGAGCTGAAAGGTGACTTTTATGATGCATGCACATGGGCGTTGATTGATGTCACAGAGAAAAAATATTACCCTGACTCCCTACTTGACCGCCGTGCAGCAGAGATTATTATCGGGAAAATTGAAGCCAATGAAGCTAAATACAATATCAATGAATATCCTGTGGAAATAATAAAGGAATTGCTAAAACAAGGTAAAGTACCTTTACCCGACAGGTTAATGGAGAAAACTGCAGTTTATGACAATGACACTTTGAAAATAAATTTTAATGATGAATTTTTTCTCGAAGGTGAGGGAGATGATGCTGAACGCCGATACAAATTACATCATCATAACCCATTGCGGAATATTACAGTGGAACTGGAATTTACTGCGAGAACTATTCCTTCTTTCCATGGGGATAATGGCTTTATAAAACGAATGTTTTATTACTACTACCCTTCAATGAGTGTGGAGGGGAAGTTGACGATTGGTGACTCAACTATAAATGTAAAGGGCGATGGTTGGTATGATAGAGAGTACGGAAGCCCAGCGGACGATAGCAGAGAGAATCATGGTATTTGGAATTGGTTTGGCTTGCAACTTTCGAACGGCTATCAATTGAATTTGTTTGAGCTTTTTGACGGAATTACGGGAAAAAGGGAAGAACAACTTGCCGTGCTTACTTCGGGTGAAAAAAGATACACTTGCCGTGATTTCATAATTGAGCCAGTAGAATGCTGGACAAGTCTGGTAACGTTTCAAGACTACAATGTGGCGTTTCATATTGAGCTTCCATCTTTTCAATTATCCTTTGATTTACGTGCTTCCTTTAATCACCAAGAGTTCCAGACAGTTTTGACATTTTTTGGATTTTACGAGGGGCGTGTAACCGGCGAGGGGTCTCATGAAGGGACGCCGGTGAGTATAATTGGATTTTATGAGCAGAAAAACGCGAGTTCCCCTGCTAGTACTTTCTCCATTATAAATAAGTTGGGAGAAAAAACGAGGGGAATATTGTCAGAGGTTTATCCCTTGCATGCTTCTGTTGAATGGATTGAAAAAAATGTTCTTGGACGATTTTGTACTTGTAAAGGCGTTCTTCCTCAGCATATTTGTGATACATTGTTTCTTCCAGTTCGTTTTCTCATTGATCGAGGTGGAAAATGTTGGCGCACGTTTTTTCTTTTTGCGTGTTCTAACGCTCTTTCACGGGATTATGCTGATACTTCAAGGTGTGTAATTATCACTGAGCTTGGACATGTGGGTTCTCTTATTATTGATGATATTGAGGATGGTTCTTCTGTTCGACGTGGTGGAAAGGCTGCCCACGTGGAGTTTGGTACTCCAACAGCTATTAATGCTGGAACAGCTTGCTTTTTTATGAGTGTCCCATTTGCAGATGTCAGTTCTCTTCCGGCTGAAAAGGCTAAGCGATTTTACGAATTATATTTTGAGATGATGAAAGCAGCTCATGCGGGACAAGGACTGGACATTCGAGGCCTAGGATATTTGATGCCCGATGTAGTTCGTACCGGTGAAACCAAAGCGCTTGAAGATGCCCTCAAAGCCATTCATACATGTAAGACTGGGGCCATTTGCGGTGCAATATGTTCATTTGCTTGTGTTTTAACCGACACAAGTGAGGAAGTTACCCTAGCGATGGAGGAATTTGGAAAAGCAATCGGTTTGGCATATCAAATTATTGATGATGTACTGGGTGTAAAAGGATTTGAAGGAAATCTTAAGGAAGCAGGAGAAGATATACGCGACGGCAAGATTACTTATCCGGTGGCAAAAGCAATGGGAAAACTGGAGCTTCCGCAAAGAGAACGTATTTGGAGCATATTAAATGAACGTACATCGGACCGTGAAAAAATTGAGGAGGCTTTAAGCCTGATTAATTCGGCGAATGTCGTTGATGAATGTGTTGCAGATGCCCGGCAACTCGTCGAAGAAGAATGGAAAGTTGTTGATCCTCTTATTCCAGATACCGTTTCAAAAGTTATGCTACGAGCATTATGCTTTTATATTATAAGGCGAAACTGTTAGGAAATTATTTTGAAGGGTACAATACTTTTTTTTTGAAGCATATATATTTATAAATTTTGCGAAGAAAAAAAATAAGGGAAATTATGGCCAAATGATTCTAATATTGAAGAATATTGATTTTTTGAATTTACAAAAACACTGTGACAGCGTGGAAAAGTAGTGTTTTAGTCCTATACCTTTGGTTAGGTAGGTTCCTTTTCCCTTTTTTTTTACGATTCATTCCTATTTACCATTTTAATTTAATTTTTTTTGCTTCTATTTCGGTTTTGACTGCAATTTTTTCTTTCTAAACTTTTTTACATATATATTTTGAGGGGGAACTATGCTTGTAAACACCGATCGGTGTTTTTTACTGCTTTTTTCAGCGATGGGAAAACTGAGAGCGAATGGCCAAATATGATTGTGAACACCGATCGGTGTTTTTTACTGCTTTTTTCAGCGATCGAACAATGAGAGCGGGTGGTCAGGGGTGGGAATTTTACGAAATCGTTTTGATTATTAATAAATTACAACCATTGCAATTTCTTGGGTTCCACCCCCATTTTCATCGAATAGACTACGTTATTATTATTATTATTGAGCCTAAAAATTACTTTGTTTTGCAAGCAAATGTTTTCTCTTCCACAATTATTCCTATACATTTTGCAAATAGAAGGTTATTAATAATCACGCTAATAAACATCTACCTCCAGAAGTCTTGCACCAACAAAAATGTCGACGAAGCGCGAAAAACTTCCCAAGCTTGGATTCTTTGAGGAGTTCATGGTCGGTGGCGTTGCCGCCGGCGTTTCCAAGACCGTCGCTGCTCCTATCGAGCGGGTGAAGCTGCTGGTGCAGAACCAAGGTGAGATGATTAAGCAAGGACGTTTGGACAGACCTTATACTGGTGTGGCTGATTGCTTTGTGCACACGATGAAGACGGAGGGTTTGTACTCGCTTTGGCGAGGCAACCTTTCGAATGTTCTCCGTTACTTTCCGACACAGGCGCTGAACTTTGCGTTTAAGGATACATTTAAGCGGATGTTTAACTTCAAGAAGGAGAAGGATGGGTACGCGAAGTGGTTTATGGGTAACATGGCATCTGGTGGCCTTGCCGGCGCTGCTTCGCTGTGCTTTGTCTACTCCCTGGACTACGTTCGTACGCGTCTGGCCAACGACACGAAATCCGTGAAGAAGGGTGGCGAGCGTCAGTTCAATGGCCTTGTGGATTGCTACGTGAAGACGTGGAAGAGCGACGGTATCGTTGGACTTTACCGTGGATTCATGGTCTCTTGCGTGGGCATTGTGGTTTACCGCGGTTTCTACTTTGGCCTGTACGATACGCTGCAACCCATGCTCCCTGTGGACACCTTTGTTGTAAACTTCATTCTTGGGTGGGCGGTGACGATCGTTGCCGGTCTTCTCTCCTACCCATTGGACACTGTCCGTCGTCGTATGATGATGACATCTGGCGCCTCTGTAAAGTACAAGAATTCAATGGACTGCATGATGCAGGTTATCAAAACGGAGGGCGCTGCATCCCTGATGCGTGGTGCTGGAGCGAACATTTTGCGAGGTATTGCCGGTGCTGGCGTGCTCTCCGGTGTGGATGCGCTGAAGCCCATATACGTCCGTTGGCGCATGGCCGATAAGTTGAACCAGCAGCAAAAAGCATAATATATATGTATATATTTGCTTGGATAATTGTATTTAGGCATCAATTTTTTTGTTAATTCTCGTAATAATAATGTAAATGTGTGTTGTGTCGGTTTTAATTGCGGTACCACCTAAACGTGAAAGAAGCAATGAACGCGGTGAATAAAAATCAATAGAAGGGAATAAAAAAAGAAAGTGGTTGAGGTTGTATCGAGGTGTTTCATTTCTTGAAAATGACTGGATGGTCGACGAATATGTTTTCTTTGTAGTCAAGAGCAGAATGTTTGTTTTTTATAACTCTTCCTCTTCGGGATGTAGTGGGGTAGTAAATATATGGAGTGAAGGCACTTTTGTACGTGTCTTCGTCATGTTTGTTAGGGAGCTTCTGAGCGTTTTTTTTTTTTTGGATTTGGAGAGCTGATAAAAATTTATTCCTGTTTTGTTTTTATTACTTTCCGATTACTCCTTTTTTTTTTTTTTTAGCAATGTTGTTATAAGTGGGAAACGCGTTTGAAGAATAATTAGACCTGTGCGTGTGCCAGTGATACTTTTTCCACTTGCGTTCGGGATGTCTCATGACTGAGATCTGCACGGGGCATGGATTTTCAGACGTCTCTCTTTTATTTATTTATTTATTTTTTTTTTTTGGGTGGGGGGTTCTTTTTCTTTCGCACTGAAATGACGCCGTTGACTGACAGTGAGGGAAATTAGAAGACAGGGAAGAAAGGGAGGCCGCGTTTTTGGATTGGTAACCATGCCCCATGGCCAAATTATGACGGGGCAGGATTGGGAGCCCCAGGTGTTTAACTTTCAGAACAGGAACAACACCAATAAGAAGCCTGGTCGCGTGAGTGAAGCCGAAGCTAATCGTGTGCTGCAACGCGGTGGAAATGTAGATGTTGTGAAGAGGGAACACTTCCATGCAAATGCACAGAAGACGGATCTTGGGGCCAACGCAAAGCGGATAGACGAGGACAACGAGACTTTGAAACTGAAGCGTATTGATAATAACTTACGCATAAATATACAGAAGGCGCGCCAGGCAAAGGGATGGACGCAGCAGGATCTAGCGCGAAACATCGCGGAGCGGGCCGGGGTTGTGACGGAGTATGAGAACGGGAAGGCGGTGCCGGAGGAGCGGGTGCTGGTAAAGATGGAGAAGGCGTTGGGCGTTCATCTGCGTGGGGTGAAGGCTGGACAGCCATTTGGTGGCATTCACCAGCAGCCACAGCAAACGAAAAAGGCCGCGAAATAGCTCTCGCTCTATCGCGTACTTCACATTTATATCTTTATATCTATTTGTTTTCAATGTTTTTTTTTTTTTTTTTTACTCTTTTTGTTTCTGACGTCTCATCACGACTGAATTGTGAAAAATTGAAGGAAAGGGGCGTAACCGACGCGCATGCAAACATCCAACTGGAAAAAAAAAAAAAAAAGGGAGAAGTAAAAAATAACGACATGAGAAACATGGCAGAAACACCACGAAGGTATACGAAGGCACTTGGGGCCTGCCCGCCACGTGAGAGTAGCAGCAAACAAAAAGAGGAACTATGAGAACAGCCGCATATTTTGCTCTAAAATGCGAGTAAAATGCGTTTTTTTTTTTTGTTGTTGTTATTCTGTCTGTTTTTGCCTCTCTATTTCTCTCTGTGTGTGCTTGCGTTTGTGTGTGAAGTGATAGAGAGCATTTTTTTTTTTTTTTTTTTTACTTCTGTTTGCTCCTTTTTTTTTTTTTTTTCTTCTTCCTGTTGTGGGGATTCCAGGCGCTCTTTTCCCTCTCCCGTGAAATCCCCGAAGGTAATTGGAGCAGTAAGTCACTTCAAATCCCTGGGAAGTGAGGGGGCGGCGAGCGTGATTTGTTTTTTTTTTTTTTGTTTTATTTTTGCTATTGTTGTAGAGGGACGCAAGGGGAAAACAGAGGAGGAAAACAAAAACAAAAACAAAAAAAAAAAAAACAAAAAAGAGAGACGGGAGTGAGAAGTAAACGGTAGGAAATAAGAAGGAGTGCGCCCCATATCACAGGAAGTATCGCCCCACTTTACCGGTGAAGAATAAAAAAAGGGATTAGGAATAGAAGAAAAACAAAAAGAAGAACGGGGGAAAAAAAGTAAATGAATCGGTATTTGATTGTAGGTCAACTGGGCGACGGCTCGTTTGGTGTGGTGAGTAAAGCCCAGCATGCCAGTAGCGGAGAAATAGTGGCGGTGAAAAAGATGAAGCAACGTTTTTCTAGTTGGGAGGAGTGTCTGCAGCTTCGTGAGGTTCAATCGCTTAGGAAACTGCAGCATCCGAATATTGTAAAGCTCAAGGAGGTAGTGCGAGAAAACACTGAGTTGTTTTTGATATTTGAGTACATGGAGATGAACCTGTTTAGTATTCAACGGATGCGGGCAGAACAGATGAGTGGTACACAAGGTTTCTTTAATGATCGTGAAATCCGTAGTATTATGTGCCAGACCCTATTAGCTGTGCAGGCAATTCACAAGGGTGGATTCATGCACCGAGACTTAAAGCCGGAGAACTTGCTGACAAAGGGGGATATTGTGAAAGTGGCTGATTTTGGCTTAGCGAAAGAAATTCGCTCTCGACCGCCCTTTACGGAATACGTCTCAACCCGTTGGTACAGGGCACCAGAGATTATCCTGCGTTCTACACACTATAACTCACCAATAGACATATGGGCCTGTGGTGTGATCTTTGCGGAGTTGTATCTTAATCGACCTCTTTTTCCAGGGTCTTCGGACAGTGACCAATTGTTCAAGATATGTTCGATTATGGGGAGCCCTAGCCCTTCAGAGTGGGACGAGGGATATCAGTTATCGCGTCGTCTAAATATGCGTTTTCCCACTGTTGTACCGACACCTCTGCGGCAGCTTCTCCCCAACGCGCCACCGGCTGCCATTGACTTGATAGAGCAAATGCTGCGGTTTAATCCAAGTGATCGTCCGACAGCTACGCAGTGCTTAAAGCATTCATATTTCACAGAAACCAACAATGTGGCGGAAGCGGGGGGAACAACAACGGCCCTGTATGCGGGCATTAGCACAGGGCAACCGCATAACCCATTTCAGCTAGTCTCTATGCAAGTTTCTATGCCCAATGGATCATTTCAGGGGTGTGTGGGTCTTAGAGCTAATGGAGGAAGTCCGCCTCCTACACTGTGTTCCTCATCAAGGGTTTTTTCCCCCAACTCCAGCGTACCTGGAATTAATCCATACGCAAATGTTGTGCGCTCCGTTCCACAAGGAGTTTCAAGGGCAACAGATAACGACGATGAGTTTAGCTTTTAATTCAAGATACTGAATGGAAATTCTTTATTTCTCTCACAATTTTTTTCTCTCCTTTCTTTACTCTGACAAGGCGAGAAGAAGGAATGGGCAACTGAGACATCCCTTTCTTCCCTGCAGAAGAAGAGGCTAGGGACCCGTGTTGGGTGGCAGAGCCGAGAAATATTCCCAACTTGTGTGAGTTTTGTTTGCATCTTGTGTTGATTTTGTTTTGCTTTTTTTCTTGTCATTAACCTTTCTCCGCTTTTTGCGTTCTGGTTTGGACCCATGTGGTGTGCGCGTTTTGTGGTGTGGGGTTGGCGTATAGTGTCCGATGTGCTTATGTTCCCAGTTGACCTGTGCCTGTATTGTATCCGCACAAGTGAATTTTGCGAGCCCTAGCCATATGACAAAAGCAGCATAACGCGTAATTTGCGTCCCCCCCTTTTTTTTTTTTTTTGGCATAAATTGTTTTCCGCCGCTATTCCACTTTCTTATTTGATGCGGCTAGTGGTGAGGGTGTGAGAGGAAGGTTTTATTAGGGTTTACTCTCGGAGTTGGAAGGCGGTCCTTCTGCGCGCTCAAAACGGGAGCTGGCGAAGTGTGACCAAAGATGTTGTTGACTAAGTTGTTTTTCTTCACGGTATTGTTGCTAGTTCACACTTGTCATACCGAAGGCACTCTCTATGCGGTGCGAGGAGGTTGTACCGGTGATCCCGCAAAATGGACTACACGTATTGGCTCCATGGCTGAAAACGAGGTCATTGTTGCGTTTCTTCGTGCCCAAGGAATAGCTTTTGCCGGGATAGCCGGATATGTGCAGAATGGAAAGATCTATTGGGAGGATGGGTCTCCAGTGAGATGGATGCCGCCTGGGTCTGGCCCTTTTTCCACGGCCGACGTTGGGTTTCTTGTGGTGCAAAGCGATGGTTCATGGGGCAGTATGTTGTACGACGTTTTTCCGGATACACTGTTTGTCTGCACAGATGGTGAATTGATACCGAGCACGACAATCACAACATCCACGCAGGCACCGACAGCGAGACCTCGTCCAATACCTACGGAAGCGCCAGCAGAGACGACTGCCAGTGCTTCCGAGGTTCTTGACGCTCTGGCAACGGCCCTGAGCAAAGCAGGCAGTTTTGATATTGTTCCCGGGACAACCAATTCTGTGGAGGTGCCAGTGCCAAAAACAGTCCTGTTTCAACAGTTAGCAGTGCTTTGTGAGAATCACAACTACTTTTTTGGTGTAGCCTTCGTGGATAAAGAGGATGCTGTGAAAGTGCAAGGAGTTTCCACCTTGATACGTGGGTCGGGATCGACTCTGGGATTTGTAGTACCTTTGGACTTGATGGAGTCCGGTGCGAAACATTACATGATGCGTGTAGTGGCTGTGAAAAAGTTTGGTACTTTCATCTACCGAAAAACAAGCGCTATGATTATCATTCATTCAATTCATGAGGTGCTAATGAAAGTAAAAGACACTGTTGAGATCAATGAAGAGGATATGATGGATGGTAAGGACGTCATACGTCCACTGCGTATCATAGGGCCGGGGACCGTGGCGCCACATGCTCTCGAGGTGGCCCCGCTTACTTTTATGGGTCTTTCCCTCACCCTGATTAATAATCGCAATGTGGGGAAAACATGTGCTCCGAGTGCTCTACCCGTCAATTTTGTTTTTGTAAACGGCAAATTGGAGTTGTTCCTAACAAAGGAGTATGTTGCGAGGGTCAAGACGGCTTCGAGAAGTCTCTGCGCTTCCATAGATGGCAGGCATATTGTTATTGCGGCAGTTGAAGGGAGGCGGTGGACCTTCACCACCGCCAATTCCCAATACGCATACGGAGAATCCATAAAAGTGGTGGCTTCAGGTGCTTCGATGGTGGCAGTGGCAACCAACATGTATTTGGCCTTTCTTTCACGCTCAGCTCGGTGTAGTTCATTAGACGATACTTTTCTCTCTTTGGAACTGGAGACATCGGTTATTTCTGCAAAAACTTCGGTATCTTACACGTTACAGGACAACCAGCAGGAAGTCACACTTTATCTCAAAGCACTTTCGACTGAGAAACGGGTGAGGTACTTGTGTGTTCAACATAAACCGACAGCGAAAAAAGTTCGGGTTGTTTCTTTAGGGGGATCGGGCGTGAAGGTTGCAGTTGATCCATTTGCGTTGCCTTCTCCTGGTTGGATATCCATTTTTAATGGATCGATTGGGTCGATTGCGCTGAAGAACGCTCTTTTACCCGCGCAATCCGAGGAGGATTTGGAACATTTCAATACAATTTTTCGTCTTATAATGCAAAATTCGCTGTTTGTTCGGTTTGTCTCGTTGCCTCGGGGAGCTGAATGGACAAGGAAACTACAGAGGTGCCGTGGTGGAACTGCAGGAACTGAACTGGAGTTTGGTGTTAATGGTGGGGTTCTGCAGATTAATATCCCTTTGTTTTTTTTAAATTCATCAGGTATTCTTTGCTCCGGGAAAGAATATCTTCGTGTCGACTATATTATTTATGAGCCCTCGCAATGGCTTCAGCGATTTGGTGACTCCGATGCTGCAGCGGTTTTTGCCGTGATTCCGAGTTTGCCAAGCTCCGCTATAAGGGTTGCAGTTACAAATTGGGATGAGTCTGCCCATTATGCAATACGTCTAGCTGTCGATGGTAAATGCCGTGTTGGTTTTACGGCTAATATTTGGCAGGCTTCGGATGCAACACACGCTGTAAGTTTTCCGATGACGGTTCATGGAGATTTCACACTCTGTGTGGGGATCTACACCGATTTTGGGAGTACTTCAATGTTTGTGGCCACCGATCGTAGGGTATCCTTTATACCTTATGAGACGGGTGTAAAAACTTGGGAAAAGGAACATGAAATGTTATCTGGGACATGGTCGCTGTGTGGAGCATCTTCCGTATGCGGTTATGTGTCTTCACAACCCTTCTTTGAGGTTTGCAGAAGTCAAACGGTGATGCGGGAGTGGCCTATCATTGTTACAGAGAAGTTTTATTCTCTTGGAAGCTTTATTGTCAAATTGCGCGAAAAGGATCGGAGTTATCCTGGTGCTCTGGTAAATGGAAGGGTGTTTATCAAGCGGGACCATTTCACATGCCAAAGTCCTAAGCTATTAGAGATGAGTTGGGACGGAGGGGTATACAGTACATCAGCTGTGATTGACCGTGGTCATTCTGTAGTGACTCTAAAGCCGAATGTACAACTCGCAGGTGTGATCCTTGGCTTTGCCTCTTGGGATACAGGCTGCGTCGCCGATTCGATTTGGCAAAAAGTCCTTGTTTCCACTTTAGCCTCTGCCACAGCCACCGTCTCCGTATTGGATCTTTTTTCACTATTGGGAGGTAGCGAGGATGATTACTTCGTTGTTTGTATACTGCAAGACAGTTCATGGGGAACTGTGTCTCATACTTATTTCCACACAGTGACCAGCAGTGAAGACAATAAAAGCGTCCGTGCGGATGCCATTGCGACTTCGAACCCGAGTGAAAACGAAGAACTTATTTACCTTTGGCAAACGGGAACGGTGGAGTGGAATGTTTTGGGTTCATTTCTCCCCAACGTGACGATGTCGCTTGCGCTTGTCTGGGACAATTCTTTTTGCCATGCTTCCCCCGCGTACATTTCTCCCATGCGGTACGTTTCTGCGACTAAATCTCGTGTTCATGTCGACTCTTCTTTTATTGCGGCGGCACCCACACCGACATCTCTATTGTATTCGTGCTATTATGTGGAGGGGGCACCTGCCATGCCGCTTCGCATTGAGCAGCTCCGCAATCGGCGTATCACCATTCAGGATCTTTCACTTTCTTCCATCAACTACGTTCCCCACTTCGCGATTCGGTACAATACAACGCAAAACACCACTATTATTTTTTCTGATTATTTGAAACCTCCAATTACACAATTGGAGCTTTTTCTTGAGAGTTCACCAGAGGAAGAGGATGTCGCTGCGGGGTGCTCGCTCACTTCCCCGCGACACTTCTTATCTTTAATGGTACAATTAAATGAGTTTGGATTAAGATATGTAAGCATTCCGCCGAGTGTCCCGGCTATGTTAGGCTCTGCAGGGCGAGAGGTCTACTTGCGTGCGTGTGCTACTGCCTCGAAAAGTGTCAGTCCGCACTTTGTTCAAGTTAGTGCTTATTTGGTTGTGAATAGCATTGGCACAGTCACAGAATTGAATCCACTTTCGTTGGATCTTTTTTTCGTTGTTGCGAATAAAACTGCTAGTCTTCTTTCACTGGACAAATGCAAAGACTCAGTGAAACGGTACGTCGCCGAAGTAACAAATCGGAATTCTGATGAAAAAGGGATTTTGTTAACCGCCAAGGGTGACAACCACTTTGTTCTTTTTATTGAGCCTACTTTGGGGGTCTCAGGTGAAGATGCTGCGAAGCAGTTGCGAGCCGTTTACAAGTCGATTTTGTCAGGGGGGCGCTTGCCCTTGCGTGTTGGTTCTGCAGATGGGCTTTTGTTTGTTCTTTACTCCGTAGAGGGAGTGCATCTTCTTAACCAGTCGTCGTACGATGGATTCCCGCTTGTTTTTCTTACCGCGGCTGGTGGGGTGGATCAGGCACCCGCGCAGGAAATGGTGACGCAGACCGTCAAGATTTTTTGTGTTGTTATTTTGCCTGGCGTCGTGGGGTTTGTTGTCTTCTCCCTGCAGCGGACGCTGCCGCGGCTCAACCGGCCACGGTTGGGCAAAGACCGGAAGAAGAAAGGGAACGGCGCGAGTGGCAGTAGAAGTGCCAAAGCGGACCGCGAGTCGTGCGCTACTGTGCCGAACTGCCAAGACGACAAGTCTCCGTCGCCGCGCATACCGCAGTCGATGGACACCGACATGCAATTCATCACCATCACGGCAGAGAAAACGACCGCTGACCCGTTGTACGACTCTGATTCCGGTGAGGCGCCTACTTCATTAGGCCGCACACCACCGGCGGTGGGCAATAATACTTTTTGCATGTACGAGGGTGGATCGAGGGACGTGGGCAGTGAGAGACGTGGCGATGGGGAAGGGTGAGACTGTTGTCTCAGAGTTTAGCGGGAAACAAACTACTCCATGAAGAAGGGGAAAAGAACTTGGGGTTACGTATTGGTGTTTCCTTTTTTTTTTTTTTTTTTTTTTTCTTCTATGAGCGAATGAGTGTGTGCGTTTTTTGTTATTTCTTTTTCGGGGAGCGTATCTGCTTCTCTGTACATATGCGTATGGAACTTCACAATTAGTTATTAGTGAGTTCTCCTTATTTTACCTTTTATTTTATTTCTATTTTTGCTTTTTATTATTATTTTGACTCTCGTTTTCGTTTGCACGGCGCAGCGCATTACTGGCAACGTGGACACCTTTTGCTTCCTCTCTTTTTTTTTTTTAAATTTATTTGGAAGAAAAGAAGAGTAAGCACGTAACTTTTAAAAACATGTCGCGGAACGTTGGTGCCGAGGAGGAATGGGAGGACGTGGACGCCCCCAATGAAGAGGATGAGGAAGAAGAAGACACGACCATCAACAATTCAGATGTGATGATGCGGTACAAAAAGGCAGCCCTGTGGTGCAACGAAACACTGCAGTTGCTGCTTGATGCGACGAAGCCCGGCGCGAAGGTGCATGAGCTCTGCAAGTTGGGTGATGAAACCGTTGCGAAGAAGCTCAAGACAATGTTTAAAGGCACAGAGAAGGGCCTGGCTTTCCCCACGTGTATTTCCGTCAACAGCTGTGTGGCGCATAACAGCCCATCGGCTGACGATGAGGCGGCTTCACAAGAGATTCAGCTTGGGGATGTGGTGCACATTGATCTCGGTATTCATGTTGACGGCTACTGCGCGCAGGTGGCCCATACCGTGCAAGTAACGGAGAATAATGAAATTGCTGCCGATGACGATGCCTCAAAAGTTATATCCGCAACATACGGCATTCTCAACACAGCTATGCGCAAGATGCGCCCCGGGGTCAGTGTATATGAGGTGACAGAAGTAATTGAAAAAGCCGCCGCGCACTACGGTGTGACTCCCGTGGACGGGGTTCTCTCGCACATGCTGAAGCGTTATATTGTTGACAGCTTCCGTTGCATCCCACAACGGAAGGTAGCTGAGCACCTTGTGCATGACTATACTTTGGAGGCAGGACAGGTGTGGACTCTTGACATCGTCATGAGCTCTGGAAAGGGCAAACTAAAGGAGCGTGATGTCCGACCGACCGTTTACAAAGTAGCGCTGGACTCCAATTATGCCATGAAGATGGAGTCGGCGCGTGAGCTTCAGCGTGAGATTGAGGCCAAGTACCAGACATTTCCCTTCGCACTGCGGAACCTGGAGACAAAGAGGGCTCGCCTAGGTCTCTCCGAGATGCTAAAGCACGGCGCCGTGGTCCCGTATCCTGTTCTGTACGAACGTGATGGGGAGGTAGTCGGACACTTTAAGATCACGCTACTGATTACAGCCAAGAAGATCGAGCCAGTGACGGGCCTTAAGCCGCAGAATGAGGCCCCAACGCTGCCGGCATACACCGACGAGCTGCTGCTGGAGGCAAGTAAACTGCCGTTGACACTGGAAAAGAAACGAAAGAATTAAGTGACAGCAACGCCCACGTAAGTACATAAACTTGCGCCTGTCATGAGGGATGAAACAAGCAAACAAACAAACAAAAAAGGTGAGAAATGAGGAACGCTAATCAATAAAAGCAAACGACGGCAACGAGGAGTTGGTGTTCTTTCTCCATGTGTGAAGCGGAGGAGGAGGGGGAAGGCACAAGAAGGAAACGGCGGGGAGGAAAAATAAGCCGGGGAGGGGAATAAAAGCGGGAGTTACAACGGCGTCACTGGAGGAAAGAAAACAAAAAAAAAAAATACTTGAGAGATGAGGGAACACCCTGACGAGAAGTTGTTTGCCACGTAAGAGTGAAGCGAATTAAACAAATGAATGCACTTTTATTTACTTCCCCTCTTATTTCCCTGCATTCCTTTTGTATTTTCATTTTTAGTTTTGTCATCTGTGAAGATGTCCCTCGCCCCCTTCTATTTTTTTTTTTTTTTTCTTTTTTTAATTCTCCTTGCCTAATCCTTCTCTTCGACGTTTAAATCTGAAATTGCCGCCGTGATTCATATCGAACTCTTCGTTGCGTGCTTGTGTTGTTCCCTCCTCCTTTTGCTTTTTCTTGTTCTTCTGCAGTCCTCTTTTTTCTTGGAGAGTTTGCGCATTTGTCTCTGAGGAAAGAGAGGGGCGGAGAACGTAGGAAAGTTTCCACCGGTACGACGGTGAAGAAAACAGTGAGAAAAAATAGCAGGAGAAAAAACACACACACACACACACACACACACAGACACAGACGAGAGAAAAAGAAAAAGAAAAAATTCAAAACACGAAGCCAAAGCAAAACAAACGAAATAACATAGTGGGCTTAAAAGAAAAAGAAAAATACATGAGTGGTGTAGACGTCGAGGAGCTGCGCCAGGTGACACTTGGCAAGAAGCTCGGAGCCGGTAGTTTCGGTTCGGTCTACGCCGGTATCCTTCCCAGTGGACGGTTTGTTGCAGTGAAGGAGTTGGAGCTTGCGGAAGACGCCCCCACTAACACTGAGGTGGAGATTCATAAGAAGCTGGCACATGAAAACATTATTCGATACTTTCACAGCCGCGTTGATACCGAAAGCACACCGAAAAGATTGTTTGTGTATCTTGAATTTGTCACAGGGGGTTCTGTTACTTCTCTTATGAAAACGCTTCCGAATGGACATCTTCCAGGCTCAGTGGTGCGTGTCTACGCCCGCCACATGTTCTCTGGTTTGGAGTACCTACACAAAAATCAGGTGGCTCACCGTGACATCAAGGGCGATAACCTTCTTATTTCTATGGATACGGGCATAGCAAAACTGGCAGATTTTGACCAGGCAAAAATCATGACGACGCACGGGACCCTGCGCAAGGCGGCCACTGCGACGCTTGCGGGAACGCCGTACTGGATGGCACCGGAGGTTATTACGGACGAAAGTGGATACGATCCTTTTAAGGCCGACATATGGTCTGCTGGCTGCACCGTGGCTGAGATGATAACAGGTCGCCCACCATGGATGCCAATGGCCAATGTGATGCACATTATGAACAAACTCGCAATGTCTTCTGGGTGGCCCGATGCGGTTCCAAAAGATCCGGCGGCGTTGGGGTCTCAGCATGCCTATGACTTCCTAGATCTTTGCTTCAAACGCAATGTTGCCGAGCGACCTGATGCCACAACATTACTGAAACATCCTTTTTTACAAGCGTAGTACATGGTGAGGAGTAAACCAAATAAAAAGAGCAAAAAGGGTTGCCTCGCCTTATGTCCTTGGACTTGTGTACATGCAAGGTTGAATAGAGGGCGAGTAACAGAAGAAGGATAAGGGGAGATGGGGATGATACCGTGGACGGGAGATGAGAATAAGTTGCAGTTGGAGGCGGCGGCGGCGAAGTGAAAACGAAAGGAAAAAAAAAAAGGGGGGGGGGAAACGAAGTGAAGGAGTTTGGGAGGGGTTCCTTGTGGAGGGCTGCGGGAGGAAAGAAGAAGGAAAAACACAGAGGAAGCACCGACACATAAAAACATTCATACACAAGCTAGAAAAGGAGGAAAGGAATTTGTCACTTTATTTTTCTTTGTTTTCGCTTAACTTTTGGAAACAAGATGGAGTCTCTTTTCCTTTGAGAAACCCTTTTGTATTTGGGAGACAATTGCTATAGTGCCGAGTTCTTAAAGTATATTTTCTTGTGTGCCTCTTTGTCTATGTGTCTATATCTTTGTGCGGGAAAGAGGGTGGAGATGTATGTATTCGTTTTCCCTTTTTTTTTTTTTCTTTTCCTCACTTTCACTTTTTGCGTGCCAACGAGAGAAGGGCGAATTAGGAGAGGAGGGCGAGCGCATTTTTCTTCATGTTGCAGTATTGAGCTGGACGAAGGCAGCTGTGTGTGTGTGCGGTGATATATATCTGTGATTTGAAATTGAATCTTTATTTTCCGTTATTCTATTCAGCTGTTGATGTCCATTTTACGACGATGGTAACAAGGAGGGGAGATGCTCTGATGTTGACCCTTTTTTTTTTTTTTTTGTCTCCTTTTCTCTTACACTTCATTTTTCTTTTGTTGTTGTTGTATTCTCACTTGATGTTTTTCCTTTTGGTTCTATTATTTTTATTATTTATTTATTTATTTCTCTTCTTTTTGATGTCTTTGCTGGCCCTGTGTGTTTTCATATGCGGTTTTCTTTACAGTAGTTATAACACGCCAGCATATCACTCGTGTTTTTTCTTTTTATACTTCTTAACCACCCAGATGGAGGTGATAAACTCGCAAGAGACACCGGATCAGCAGAAGACTGGCATCACTCGCGTGGAGGACAAATATCTCATTGATGAGGATGCCGTTGTTGGGCGTGGCGCATGGAGCGTCGTGAAGCGGTGCACTCCGATTGCGCCCTACGAGCCACCTGCGTTGCGACCCGGAATGAAGGTTGTGGTGAAGATCATTGAGAAGGAATATCTCATATCTTTGACGAAGGGCAACGTGGAGCGGGCCATGGCGGAGGTTAAGCGGGAAATCGATGTTCTGCGGCATGTTCCTGCTCACGAAAACATTGTGACCTTTTTAGAATACATTGAGACGGAGAAGGAATTTCTTCTCTTCTTTGAGGAGGTGCAGTGTGGGGATTTATGTGAGATTATTCTTCAGGCACCGGAAGGGAAGCTCACTGAGGAGAAGGCCAAACACTACACGTATCAAACCATCAAGGCCGTTTTGCACTGTCATATTCATGACGTGATTCACCGTGACATTAAACCTGAAAATCTACTTGTTAGCGATGACGATAATATCAAGTTAACTGACTTTGGACTTGCCAAACGATCAAAAGGGGTGTGTACCTCCGCTGAACCAAGGGACCTTTTAGATCCTGTTGCACTTTGTATGCCGTACCCTGGCGCAGAGAGAATTATTGGAAAGCGCGTTGTCTGTTCTGATGTCATTGGTACCCCCCGTTACGGTTCTCCTGAGATGTTCTACGCGAAGTTTACTCAGACGTATTATGACGGATTTAAGGCCGATACATGGTCTGTGGGGGTTGTGACCTACATTACGCTCTCTGGCAGCTTCCCTTACTCGGCGGCAGCACATGCTCCAGAGAAGGAAGTATTTCGCACCATCATGGACACTGCACTTCCTGAACCACCGGGCATATCCTCTGACGCACTGGATTTTATTCAACGACTTCTTAATAAGGATCCCCATAAACGCATCTCACTGTATGATGCACTAACCCATCCTTGGCTCGAGGGGGTTGCTCACCCGAGGGGATCCGTTACCGTACCGAGATTAATTGAAAAGTTCCCCTCTTTGGAGGTGACCGAAGTTTGCAATGTGTTTGATAAGGAGGCTCAAGCGCTGCATCAATGTATTCGATTGTTACAACGTGAAAATCAACGTCTTCGTGATGAACAAGAAAAATGGGAGGATGCAGTTGCTAAACGAGAGAGAGAAGCACGTGGGACAAGCACACCGCGGCGTGCTGAAACTCCCTCTGGGGGATCCCGCGTGCGCGGAGCTCGGACGACTGCTGCTTCTAGCGTCATGCGTGTCGGTTCACCATCAAGGACAGGAGTACGACCGGGTCGTAGTAGCATTGCTCAAGAAAGCTCTAACGGCTCCACGCGCCGTATGTCTGCGCATCGTGTAAGTGCACGGAGCCCATTGGCTCGCAGTGCAGCAAGTACGGTTCGCCGTGGAACACCTGTACGTGCTGGTGTCACGACACCCATGCGAAGTGGCACGCCGTCCCGCACGACAGGGCGATCTACTTCCACTACGCGAGGCGTTTCACGTCCCACAAATGGTGTTACACCTTCCACTTCTCTTGCTCATCGTGCTTCCACGCCAGGGCGTACGGGTACGCGTTCGACAACCCCATCCCGTTCCTCCGTTCTCAGTCACGTAACCTCGGCAAAGGAGCTTCAAATAGGGGAAACAGTCACGTACAAGGGGTATCGTGCCATTGTCCGCTTTAACGGTCCGACCGCGTTTGGTGCCGGAATTTGGATAGGATTAGAGATGATGGAGGGGAATGAAGGAACGAACGACGGTTCTTCATTTATTGATAAAAAGCAATACTTCACATGTCCGAAGGGTAAGGGGGTATTTGTGCGTGCATCCCAGGTAAAGAAACTATAGGGTTGTTGTTTTTGTTGCCGTCCTTATCGTTGTCTTATTTTTGGTGGGAATTAGGAGAGAGAAACGGAGAAATGGGGGAGGGGGGAAGGGGAAACAACACGTCTTTTTTTTTTTTTTTTTGACATGTGTAGTTTTTCTCGTAGATTTCTGGTTTTAGAGTTAGAAGAGAAAGGTGGAGAAACGTATTTATTTATTTATTTATTTATTTATTTTTTTTTGCGTGTGTGTGTGTGTGTCAGCACGGATTTGCCGCTGTGGGAAGAGAGAGAGGGAGGGAGGGAGGGAGAGAGAGAGAGAGAGAAGTAATGTGATTTTTTGTAAATGCCGTCTACGATACCTATAACTCAAGATTCTCCATCGTCTTTCTTGCAAATATATACATATACACATGTGCCTGTTACATGAGGGATGGGCGGATCGGAAAAGAGGCGGAGGAATAAAAACAAACAAACAAACCAACCAACCAAAAAAACAAAAAAACAAAAAACAAAAAACAAAAAAACAAAAAAACAAGGAGATAAGAAGAGGGGGAGGAAGAAGAAGACAAAAAAAAAAAACAACAAAAAAAACAAGAAAAAATAAAGGATGGAAGAGAGGAGGAAGAGAGGAGGAAGAGAAGGGGACAAAATGGAAGGGGAAAGAAAGATTAGGAGGAGCAGGGCGAAGGGTTAGGGTTAGGGAGAGGAGTTGCCTGGTTATTATCATTATTATTGCAATAATCATAAATATTATTCTTGCCAGGCTATTTGCTTTCTGCACAAACCCCGTTACAAACAATCGGTAGCACAACTAACACAACGGAGTCCTTTTTCTTTTTTTTTCTACAGAATGCCGGCTACTCACCGCAGCCCTTTTTTTCTTTTTTTTTTTCCTTCTGTTTGTGTCATTTTCGCATGGCGAGTGGGAAGGAGGGGATTTTAGGACCGCAAGATGGATGATGACAGTGACGACGTTGCTATTAATCTTCAGTAGGAGACCCGTTTTTTTTTTTTTTTCTTTTCTTTTCCTTTTCCGCCGTTATTGTTGTTATTGACTTTTCTTTTCTCTCTCGTTCTCTCTCTCTATATATATGTATGCCAATACAGTGATCTGTAAATATATATATCTACATACATGTCTCTCTTTCTCTCTGTCTCTCTCTTTCTTTCTTTTTTTTTTTTTTTTTTTTTTTGTGTGTGTGTGTGTGTGTATTTTCCCCATTATGTTTTATTTTCTTTGCTCGCCCGCATCTATTTTTCTTGTTTTTTTTTCCCCCTTCCCCCCTCCAACTAGTTCTTCTTCGTTTCGTTCTTGTATGAAATATTTGCTTGTTTTTGAGTCTTTGTGCCAACGTGGCGACGAAAAAGTGCGTTGCATTTTCTTTTTATTGCTTATTACAGTTACACGTACTTTTTTCCCTGCTGTCGTTTCTTTTTTTTTCTCCCCTCTGCTTTCTGCAGTCACGCACGAGATGCCTTTAGATGAAGGAGAGGCTCTTTTGAGGGCGGTGCATCAAGTTCGCAAGGCGTGCAGTGATGTGTCTAGTGCAACCGCCGAGTTGGGAACAGCACGTGATGCCATGGCACGCGAAAAATTGCGGAAGTCACGCCTATTAGTTACGCAATGTGAAGAAAAGGCTGGTGGTATCCTTGCCGCTGGCATAGACGCGGAGTTGTCGGCTTTGCGTGGACAATACAACGCGGTTAGAGCAGATTTTGATCGAGTCAACAGGGAGGCAATTCGAAGGGAGAAACAGACATGGCGCCCTCTTTTTCAGAATGATGCCGTGGAGGGAGACGGGCGTGGTGATGCGAGCGTATCTCCTGCGGCCCAAAATTCTGGGCGTGTGCAAGAGATTCGAGCAATTGACATGTCAGGGCTTTGTACGGAAGAGGCCCTCCAACGGGAAAAACTTCTTGGCGTGAGAGAAATTGAGAGCAACATGATGGACCTTCGGAGCATGTATCAGGAATTTCACGATCTTGTGCATCATCAGCAAAGCAATCTGGACAGTATGACGGGAAATGTTTCGGTTGCAAAGTCATCTGTGGAGGGTGGAGCGAGGGAGCTTTCACAAGCCTCCAGACGGCAGAAGTGTGGCCGAAAGTTGTTGTGTACTGTCGCTATTATTTTGTTTATTGTCATTATTGGGGTGGTTGTTGTGGTGCTTGTTGCGAAGAGCTGAGTTTTTTTTTTTTTTTTTTTTTGATTTATGAGAGATGGAGAAGTGGGAGGCGAGTGAGACGTCTGTCCGCCGCCAATAGTGCCCTCAAGTTTCACGGAGAATGAGGGAGAGGAAGAAAATTCGACCAAAAAAGGAGCATCACAAACAATCACATGTCCCTCAAAAGGAATTAAACGAAAACGAAGAAGAAGAAGAAAAATTAGTTTTCTCTTATCGCCCGATGCTTTTCTGAACGTTCCTTTAGGCTTACCGAGCCCAGTTGTGCTGTCCTTTTTTTTCTTTTCTTTTTAGGTGCTCAGTTTTTCCTTTGTTATTTCCCTGCTTACGTTATTTGTGTTTGGTCCTTTGCTTGTTGTTGTTTTTCTCACCGGCCATGGCGGAGTGAAAGTGGGTGGCGGGGAGTTAAGAAGAAGAGGAGGGCTGCTGCATGCAACGAACAATTCTAATGTGCTTGAGGGTGTGAGTGTTTTTGGTCCTTCGTGTTGATTTACTGTGCTTGAGCATTCTTTTTTTTTTTTTTATTTGTGTGTTTGTGCGTGTTGACTGGTTGTTTTTTCCGCGTTTCTTTCTTTCTTTGTTGCTCTCTTCTGCGTGGAGGGTTCCGTATTTTTGCCATCACTTTGCCCCCCTCTTGCAGAATGGACCCTTTTGAAGGAAGCCAGCCACAGCCGCCGCAGAGCAACGGGGAGAATGCTGTTTGGGACAATGAGCAGCATTTGCCCCATCAGCCACAACACGATGTCAATTCACTTTTTGAGGCTTCGTCAGCACCAACAATGACAACAACAACAACAACGGGAGGTGCAGCCGCTGCTAGCGCACCGGACTTGGCACAGCCGGCCTATTTTCCGCCTGCAGATCTGCGTGGTGTTAACAGTGACGATTTTGGGTCTGATGGAAAGGAATCTGGGGTGCCTTCCTTTGGGCCAAAGAAGAACGGCCATGCTGTGACAGAGGCCGTTCAGAAGGAAATTGAGAGGAGAACAGCAAATATAGATGCGGAATCTAAAAAAAAGGAGGCACAGTTGAAGGCTGCCGCAGAATCTTACATGAAGGGAATAATTGCCCAACACGAGGCGAGGCTCAAGGAGAAGAAGGCAGAGCAGATGCGACTGCAGAAAGCGAATGAAGCAAAACGCAATGAATATATAAAAAGTGGTGCTGTTTGGAGTGGCGTAGAATTGATGACAGATCTCAACAAGGCAAATAATTACTCTAAGAGCACGGATCGAATGCGAAATATTCTGAAGAAACTGTGTGGCGCCAAAGAGGGCGAAACCGCTTAAAAATAGCGAAAGGAGTTAAAAAGACGAAAAAAAAAAAAAAAAAAAAAAGAAGAATTGTGAAAGACAAAAGGGTGCATATCTAGAGAGGAAAAGGGAAGAGGAGAAAAGGAGAACAAACGTTTTATTGTGACGTAAAGAAGAAAAACAGTTGGACTCAAAGGGGCTATTGTGTGTTGTCGAATATCAGCCTTTTCTTGCACATCTTTATATCTCTGCATCTTTCTGGTGCTTTAATTACTTTACTTTCTATTCCTAGCACCATCACTACCATTGCTACTACTACTACCACTACTAAAAATGCCGTTTTTTTTTTGTGTTTTTTTTTTTCTTGCTGTAATTGTTTGTTCTCTACGTTTTACAATTATTTTCTTTTTGTTTCTTGAAGTTTTTTAATTTTATCTGACTGGGAATGCGCGGAGGCCGTGGTGGCGGAGGTCGCGGAGGTCGCGGCGGTGGACGTGGTGGTGGACGCGGTGGTGGACGCGGTGGTGGTCGCGGCGGTGGACGTGGCGGTGGTGGTGGACGTGGCGGTGGTGGACGTGGCGGTGGACGTGGGGGGAGTTCGGCGGTGCGGGGTAACGTTTTTCAGCCTCACGCTCGCATGCGTGGATGCTACCTGCTTGCCGGCAAAGATACCCTGGCGACAAAGTCCCTAGTGCCTGGCGTTTCCATCTACGGGGAAAAGCGTGTCAGTGGCACCATTGCGGGGGAGACGGAGTCCACTGAGTTCCGTGTGTGGAATCCGTATCGCTCCAAGTTGGCAGCTGCCATTTATTCGGGTGTTGCTCAGATTTACATGGAGCCGGGTTCCTCTGTGCTTTCCCTTGGAGCCGCCAGCGGAACCACCGTTAGTCATGTTTCGGACCTGGTAGGACCAGAGGGTGTTGTCTACGCGGTGGAATTTTCCCATCGCAGTGGCCGTGACTTGGAGGAGATGACGAAGCGCCGAAACAACATTGTGCCCATCCTGGAAGATGCTCGCTATCCACAGAAGTATCGCATGTTGATCCCACGATTGGTGGATTGCATCTTTATGGATGTTGCCCAGCCGGATCAGGCACGTATCTTGGCGCTGAACGCGCAACATTTTCTGAAGGAAAATGGCGGGTTTGTCATATCTATCAAAGCCAACTGCATTGATTCCACTGCGGATCCCGCCACAGTATTTGCCTCTGAAGTGCAGAAACTAAAGGACTCCGGTCTGAGGCCCAAGGAACAGGCCTCACTGGAGCCCTTTGAACGTGATCATGCCGTTGTTGCAGGGTACTACAAGTGTCCACCGAAGTAAACCACAATCTTGGGCTTCCGCTGTCGCACGCGTGCATTGGTTCAGAGAGAACGAGAGAGACGACACTGTGAGATCCGTCTAAATGCGAGATGAAGCCATGGTGAGGGCTGAATTGAGCTAAAAATTGATAATTAGACATGAGAAAAAAGAGAAGGACAAGAAGAAAAAAATGAAGAATTACAACGGCAACGTCGGCTAAATAAAAAAAAAAAAAAAAAAAAAAAAGTGCGAGAAGGATAAAAGAAATATATATTAATGAATTGCTGTCGCTTGTCTTTCCTTATTTATTTATTTTTTCTTTGGTGTCTCCTTTTTTCTTGTTGTTGTTGTTCATTATTATTAATATTTGTTGTGGGTTTCTTTTTTTCCGGCTTTCTTTACTCACCGATTCTTTTTTTTTTTTCTTTTTTGTATCTTTTTTTTCCTTTTTTTCTTTTCTTTTTTTTTAAAGTTATTTTCTCCTTGTGGAGCTACGAGGCATAACTCAGAGGTGCGGATAGATGATACCGCGGGCGGCACAAATACGCCAGCAGCAGGCGAATGAAAGGCGCGCCAGGCTTGAGGAAAGCGCAGCCCGTGCGTCTCGAGAGGACATGTTTGCACGACACAATGTTATGCGGGGCGTGCGAATTGCGGGCTCACGTTTTGCAAACACCAACCGACACACACGCCGAGACCCAAACCGAGGCATTATCACACAAACCGAGTGGAACGAGTTGGTAGAACAGCATGAAGATTCGGGTTTTAGGTTTAGGACTTTCTTTTTTGGACTTCTCATATTTGCCGTTGCCGTACTGGCACTCGCGAAGTACGACATGGAGTTTAATGTGGAGCCCCCTCAAATTGAAAGCGGGAGGGGGGTTTGGG